TTGCTGGCCTTTTCTGGCCAGCCATCTGATCTTGAGTATTGAGCGAAGATAACTGTTAATGAAGGTCTGTAGTTTTTTTGAGATACTTTTTATGATGCGCCAAGTCTCTGATCCATATAGTGAGTAGCAGTGACTGACTTCACATTGGAGTTGAAAATCCGGATCTTATCTTTCATGCTGAGTGATGTTGACTTCCACACAGACTTGAGAGAAATGAAAGCTTATCTTGCTTTTCTGCTTCTGGCTTTGATGTCCTCGTCAGTTCCGCCTGTAGTTGAAACGATGCTTCCCAGATAGGTAGGTAAAGGAGGTTGTTTCTCTCAGGTTCCTCCCATTTATGCTGGCTGATTGTTGTCTGTTGCTGTTGGCCAGGAATCTTCATCACCTCTGTTTTATCTATTTTCACATGAAGTCTTATCTTTGATGCTTCTTCTGCCAGCTTGTTGCTTTTCACTTGCATATCTTCCAGTTTGTGGGAAATCCGACGTATATCATCGGCGAGAATCATTGATAACTTGAGATTATCAGAAAGCTGCTTAGTTCTTGTTTGGGATATTCTGGCTTTCAAGGGTTCCGTAACTTTATACATTTATTCCCCTTTCTGAATTTGAATAAAGCAAGAACGACAGTTTGTGCAGACTAAAATGTTACCATCATTTATTCCATTGACTTCTCATCAGCTGCTTTACAGCACAAAGCCATTATTAGGTTTATGTACAGAAAGGATTTTGACATACACGGAGAATTCATTTTTAAACAAAAAATCAATCAATATATGCATACAACGCTAATAATAGTAGTGACCGCTTTATTTCAAACGATAATAATCATGCATACTAGGAGTTTTTGGCGTTACGTAATCAAAAGGAGGAGGGAGTAAAGACATTCAGTTATCAGGGAAAGGAAAGACTGATAACCGCTTCTTTCTGAATGCATAAGTCAGTTTCAGACGCTTGGTACAAAATGCTTCGGCAAACTTAAGGAGAATTGATCTCCTTTCACATCAATCATTTCGAACGACCTTGAAATGTCCACCTCATGTCCTGTGTCAAGGAAGCGCCTCGCAATGTTGAAAGCGTTTGTTCCCTTAAGACGTAGGCTTTGTAGTATATGTTGAGAAAATCGGAGGTATGGGCCTTCTTTTTGTTTTCCCAATGTAACTGCGCCCGCAGATACATGTAAATTTGTAAATACAGTTGGAGTTAACATGAGAAGGATATCTATCAACTTTTGATTGCACCAAAGAGCTTGTTGTCCGATAGACGGGGAAGAACTTAGTTGCAGGTTAGGCCCTGGCAAGTGACATATTTAATCTTCTGTTGCAATATTTTCACCTTAAAATCAGGTCGAATGAAGATAGGCTTTTTTCCAATGTGATTTGTTGGACCAAATAGCCATAAACGAGAGCAAGTCAAGACTCTGTACTTTAGAGCCAAGAGAATACGCTCTAATGAGAAATTAAAGGAAGTGTTTATGTTTCTCGAAAAGATGTTGAAAAACTACAGTTGTCCTCAGAGGTTCATTAACAAGTACGGAGGATGTGAAGGTTCGAATGTTAAACAAATCAACCTCGCCATAGAATAACCACCTGTTGTTGTAAAGCTTTTTCAGTTCGAGTTCTTTTTGTTTTATACATGCCATTATTCTAATAACAAATACATATCAACTTAATACATAGAAATCTGCACAAGACGCCACCAATCAAAGATATTCATTATTTCTGGGTTTACTATAGTGATTTGAAATTAGTCCAACCAAATATCAGGAAATATTAGTGTTAACGACTTATCCTTGTAATACATACTTTAAGTTAACTCCACTTGACTGTATTCACTTTTACAATCGGGGATTGCCTTCATTGTTTCAGAGGATGCATGACTGATATAGTCTAGTGAAAAGCTTAGTAATGTTTTATATCGTCAAACCTCACTTGCTGATACTTTAAGAGAATCGTAGGATGTCTTCTGCAGTGGGACGATTTAGACGCTACATTTAACCTTGACAACCATATTTTAATTATCTTTGGTAACTTATACCCTCAATTCATTTGAAATAAATTGCGAAAAGTATGATTAACAAATCTAGAAAAAATGATGAGTTCAACTAAAAAATACCCACATCTTAATCAGATCCCTGTAATCTTTTAGACAACACATAATTTACTAGTTTGTGTAATGACGGTTTTCGAGGTACTCTGACTTAATATTCACAACTAACAGGATCTAGGAGAATAATAATGACTGTTTAATTCATGCCTACTGATGTTTAGCTACATTATACATACACTGTAGAGTTATACGAATAATAAGTTCTACACTTTTCCAAACGTATTTATATACGCTGCTGGAATTTCGTCTGTGTGATTTACTGCGCGAAATCGAATTCAGACTAATTCGTACGACATTTAATAATAAAAGTCTTCTGTTACTCATAAACTCTAGTTGAGGAGGTATTGTTATTTTGTCTATTCACAGTTAGCAGCTTCTCCTATTGTCACTAACTGTAATCACGTAAGCCATAAATCACCTTATGCCAAAAAGAAATATGCTCTTTTAGATTGGTATTTACGCAAATATTGCTTCCAATCAAATGTGATTACTTCTCTCAGTTAGTCCTACAGGTTGCACTTTGAAGATGAGTGTCAGCTTGTTTGGTTATGGCGGTTGGTGAGTGGGTAGTAGAATTCAACAAAGGACATTTCTTAGCAATAACAATCAGTGTAAACATAATCCATAACACCCGTAAATCAGAGATACTTTGATATTGGCATTGGAAAGAAAGTGTGAACAACTTTATTTCACATTTGTATTTTATTCCTTTACGTTCTCAGTGGAACATAAGGGCTTCAAGCTGGAAGTTTTTGTAGCAGTGGTGTTTATTTTTACGGGATGAGGTTGCTGGCCTCATGCCCGACCTTCCCTCTTTACCAGTCTCATTACTAGCTCAGCGAGCTAAAGGAGCGTGCATCGACCGGAGATCGAATCCCGGACCACCTGCATAGCTGGCAAGCAGCACTATACGACCGTCACCGACGCACACATTCAAAAAATGGTATATCCATTGATTGGGTTTTCAGGAGGACCGAACACACTTATCCCTGCTTTATTTATTGCGAGACGAAACCGGCAAGCAGTATCACCCTGTGGTGGCGCAACCACTTGACAGCTCTCTACCTCGGTGGAACAATTTCACATTTGAAAATCAATTTACTGTAACAACAAAAATAACACACACAGATCCCTAGTTCAATATTGTAGAGTTTATGATCTAACACTATGGTCACAGTTTTCAGTAATTAACCAATCTACACAACCACAAAGGACACTTTCACCGTAACTGTCAGGTGAACATCGACAAGACGGAGGTGATGAAAATAACCAACCAACAACAGCAGAAACATCCAGCGTCAATCACCATCAATGGGAGGGATTTGAAAGAGGTTACTTCATTCACTCATTTATCTAGGGAGCATTGTCTCAACTACAGGAGGAGCGGACGAGGATGTCAAATCGAGCGAGAAACACACACATTCATCAGCCAACTGAAACCAATCTGGAAATCTTCGTCACTCAGCCACCATCAACAACAAAATTCGGATTTTCAATACAAACGTCAAGTCAGTTCTTATATATGGATCAGAAACTTGGTGGGTCACAAAGAATATTTCCAACAGCCTGTTTTAGACATTTATCAACAACTGTCTTCGCTCTATACTGAAGATCAGATGGCCAGGCCGGAAAGAATCACCAACAAGAAACTATGGGAACAAACAAAACAAGAACCAATTGCCAACCAACAAATATGCTGGAGAAAGTGGAAATGGATTGGACACTCACTCGCTGAGGAGGCCGCCTCTGGGTGACATCGCGCGCGCGTCAGGCCATTTCTCGAGTGGAACCAGGCCGAAAGGGAAGCGGCGAGTGGGACGTGAGTGCAAGGGTGACATGGAGGAGATCGTGTGAAGAGGAGTTGAAACAGTATGGACTAAGGTGTATGCAGGTGAAAAGTACAACAGAAGACAGAGGCAAGTGGAGACGTGCAGTTGAAGACCTATGTTCCACTAGGAACCCTAGGGGACAACAATAATAATAAATAACCAATCTACACTAAAGCAAATATACTTTAGATGGTTGAGTTGATTGATAAAAAACGAGTCATCTCTTTACGCCTCTCTATTTTAAGGTTACCCACGAAGTCTAATTATGAAAATCAACTTAAAAGAATTGAAGAATTATTGAGTAAGTTACTTTTTTTTGTATTACTTTCAGATCAATAGTGATACAGATTTTTAAAATAGATAAATTAAAAATATGAAAATGATGATAATAGTAATAATAATATTGATAAAGATAATATTAGTAGTAATAATAATGATGATGATGAATAATGACAATTTAACAATGAGCAGCAGCTACACAAAAGGTTAAAATATCAAATTATACAACAGAGTGAAAATATGTGGCAAAATAAGTGGATAATTTAAGTGAGAAATGAGAGAGAACAACAAATGCAACAACATAGTAGTAGTAGTGGTAGTACTGGCCAATACAATAATAAATGAAAAGGAAATGAATGCTGATGAATGAATATACACAAAAATGGATATGGTAAAATATTATTTAGGATACGATAGGGTAGGTAAGTGGCCAAAGGTTAGAAAAAAATTCACACATACACACACACACAGACAACACAAAGTGGAAAACCTATGCGGAAATACTACGAAGTGTTATTCATTAATTGAACCTAGAAAGAATTTTACTTATTAGCAATACAATTGTTGGATTGTAGCCAACTTTTTTACACGACTGACCACCTTTCCTACAAGAGACGATATGAGAATGTGAGAGAACAACAATACCGACGACAACAACAGCAAGACATCATCAAGCGATTTGTGAATAATAGCAAAGACATTTTTTGTTGTAAATGAAGCTTCTATAGTTCAAGGATCTAATCTCAATATATATATATATATATATATTAATCCATGCTCCCAATCAACTACACTCCAATGAGGATAAAATATATTCAATAAATTGGATACAAGGGATTAGATTAACTTTGAATGTAAGCAAAATGCACAGAACTTCGCTTAGTTTATGCATGAAATCAGATTGATTGTCAATTGTACACGGTGATAATGTTGTACTGTTCGAAATAGTTATTTGTTGTATGAAATTTGCTAAACTACTGGGTAGTTGTTGTACTAAAGACTGATCTGTGTTTAATAAGATTCTGTGCAATTGATTTTCGTGTGATCGTAGAATATCTTCTAATTCAACCTATATATGTGTGTGTTGACAGTAAAAGAAAAAAAATCAAGTCAGAAAGTAAAATCAATAAATAATAATAATAAATAACAATAAATAATAAATAACAATAAGTAAATAAAAGCACATTTCAAAAAGGATAAAATATTTAACTGAATATTAATACTCTCACGCGTCGGTGGCACAGTGGTTAGGACACTCGGCGACCATGCACATGGTCCAGGGTTCGATCCCCAGCCGGCGCATTTCTTTACCTCGCTAAGTCAGTACTGAGACTGGTAAAGAGGAAAGGTTGGGCATGGAGCTAGCAACCCCATCCTATAAAAATTAACACTGCTACAGAAACTTCAAACCTCTAGCTTGAAGCCCTATGTTCCACTGAGAACGTGAAGGAAAAAAAAGAAAAGTAACTCTGAAACAGCAACATTTTCTCTTAAATAATTTGTATGTAATCTACATCATGTTTAGTGTTACACAACACTTAGAAATAAATAAAACAGTTGCTATTTCCAAGTAGATTTCGTCATGAATCAACATCAATCAGAGAGATCATTGAGAACCTGAGTGCACAAGACAGATGCTTAAGCCTAGTTTGGAACTGTCTTTAGCAGTTCACATTAACGATCCAACCAGGGAATGGACCATGGGCCTCCAGGTCACAAGACCAAACTAGTTGACCATTCAGCAATTTGAGTCGGGACTTCGATGACCCGTGAATTCTAGGCCTTATCAAATCATATAATATAGCACTACCCTTAACCAATGCCTCCGACTAATATTTAATTTCATCATGACATGGTAGACCTCCCCCTCACTAGGGTCGCGACTTCTCAGTATAGATGCTATTATTATGAGGGTTGTGAAAAATAAAGGCATTGGGATGTACATGGCTAACTAGGTGGACACACCAAATATCTGACGAAAATTTACACCGAAGAAAACACCAATTTGAATAAACTGGAATTGATGTGTACAATAAATTGTGTTCAAAACATCAGGCATTGAATGATCTTATATGATAAAAAAAAAATGATATCGAATTGCATACTATCACATTATTAAATCAGTACTCAGATATTATTAATTGGCTGCTGTTTTATCTATTTATATCTTCTTCGATGACTGAATTTATCTAAGTATTCATACTATTATTCACACTTTGAGGGAATGGCCATGACACAGAGGACCGCATGCAACTCTGAAGTGAAATATATATACATGTCGTTGTCAGCTGATAACACATTAAAACAATTCAAACAGTTTTAAAGCATAAGAAAGAACAGGAAAAGTTAGACTTTGAGAACCACTATGTACCAACGGATAAATGACCTTGAACGCATCAACCACATGACAAAGGCAGTTTTTCACAAATAAAACAGATTTATTCATGAAAATGATGAATGCTACACAGGCTACCTTTCTCTGATGTGTAACAAAAATACCTCTCAGTTTTGGATTGGAGTATCAACAGAGGGAATTTAATCACATTCTAGGACATCTAACCTGAACAATAACCCTAATCTTTCGTTAACCTAACCCCACAGTGAAAATATCTCTTAACTAACTCGAACGAACCCTTATGTCACCCTAAGTAAGTTAACGTAACCCTAACCTGTCTTTAGTATAAACCTTAACGTAACTTTTCCCAAACCTAACATGAAAACTGCCAGATACTCCATTTAATAACATAAGACTTCAATAAGCATATTTTATTCATGATTACAATTTCATCAGGTTTCACTAATTTGCTTGCTGAGCGTTTCTAGGTGGTCATTGGTGTGGTCGCGCATTACACTGGTACTTGAGGTTTAACTTGGTCACAAAACAAATCGACATTTGATTCAGTCCTTCTCCTTACTCATCAACTTCGATAACGAAAAAGTGAATGCAGTAGGTTTTCACACAAACTGACTGACTTGGTAGGTATAACTTCAGACCATGAATTGATGCTACTGATATTATCAGACTATCATAATACACTAACAAGTTCACTTTTTTCTATCCACTTCTCTGTAAACAACTTATGATATAAACCTTCAACAAGATGGATTATTTTTTCCAAGATATAAAATATGAGTTCATACGATGGTGTATTTCAAACTTTGATTTAACTTGTCTGTCTGTCTGTCTATTTTCGACATGGAACTTTGCACAAATGTGCGGAAGTTCAAGTCGCCACATTCCGTGTAGCACGCGAAGCAAGAGAAGAAAGTACAAGAAAAGCATAATAGAAACAGTGAGCAGAGGTGTCAGACAAAGGAGTAATAAAGAAATACAAAACAGTTTCATTGAAGATCATAAGTCACAGGGAGTGGATGCATCTGCGCCACTGAGAACGGTTTTGAGCCATGTCACCAATTGTTTCCAACCATAGATTTTTACCGTCCCGAGGACCCCAGCCTGGAAGTCTACACCTTCCTACGTGGCTTAGACCAACTGTTGTGGATTTCATTGACTGATGCCAAGTTTTTGTTTGACCGCCGCTAGCTTTTTTCCAGCCTGACCCTATATCCGCTAACATAGCTCGTCGAGGGAGGCGATGGCTTGGCATACGTAACACATGTCCTAACCATCTCAGTCTTTGTAGCTTCACGACTTCGTCGATTGATTTCCCCTGTTTACCTAGAACTCTACGCCTAACCTCCATGTTGCTCACCTTGTTATGCCACTTTACACGGGAAATAGAACGCAGGCACCTATGATTTAACTTGAAGAGTAACTGCCTATACACCCATTATTAAATACACTTGTTCTTAACGTTATTGGAAATCAGTACAAGTCATGTGATAAACACAATATTATAGGCTTGGATATAATAAAGCCCATAGCTCAGGATTTCAGATCAATCTTAATATTCATACCGAAAAGTGAATGACTTTCAACGTATTAACTTATTGTGTCCTAATTTCATTTTTCTTGGTTTTGAAAATTATTTTCTCACTATCATCATCACTTAATATTTATTGGTCATATACGTGCCACCAGTAATTGAATTAAGGACGAGAAACGCAACTAAGGATCTGGGAATTACTGAACAGACACATGATGAGTTTATTAATAACTAATAGTATGAAAAACAAAAAGGTGTTAACTGGTGCCATATCGTTTATAAGGTAAATCACTCTCAGCACAAACAAAATATCACAATCTAATTTGTGCAAATTACTGGTGTTATACGGTTTTTACAGTGTTTTTTTCCGGTTCCATTTGTGTAGTTTATATATATCGATAATCGATTCTTTCGTATCACAATCTAGGCGTGTTTCTCTTCAGATTTCCGATCATCACCCTGCGTGGTTAAGTAAAAGTCAAACAAAATCTATTCGTAGCGCCATTCTATCTCATCTTGTGGATATAGAACACAAGATTGATGTCAACCAGGCTTTCAAAGTCATTTCCGCATACCAACAAACTTTACCTTAACCTTGAGAGTTCATTTACTAAATGCTGCTGAGGCCGTTGGGATCCACATTAAGAAGTCTAATTTATGTGTCCGACAGAAGCTAGTTCAGACATTGTCCTTACCTTGGCCATCTAGGTTCAAATGATTTTCAATTTTTTGTAGAAATTTCCTTTATTTTTGTTGATATTCTATTTGTTATTATATTATTATTACTATTTAAGCATCTTTAATGAACCGTAATTCCATTGATCTTAATTAAAAAATCGATATTATTTTAAAAAACACTAACAGTGTTATTGACTACTATTCTAGAATATTCTATGTAGATAAACACATATAGTATTAGATGGTTGGAGGCAATTGGCAGGAAGCCTTGGACCTAGGTTTCGTGATAGTTGGCACTCATCAGCAAGGCGCATCTGAAACCTTGAAGGAACTCATGTCCCTTCTGAGATTCGACCCGCGTCACCCAGTGCTGCAGTCAGAGACGTTACCACTGAGCTATTCGGGCTCGCGGTCGACCTCCTGTAGGACTGTAGTGGGGGTATAGTAGTTCATATAGCTGTAGAGCCAGAAGAGGAAATTATCGAAAAGGATATTCTTTGTTGAATTGTTTTGTTTTTTATAGACAGCTTATTCACTGAACAAAGTTCTGTGAATAGCATACAAGGCAATACACTAAATAAGGTTTTAACTGGATAGCGGATACTACCTATGACAGTTTTATAATCTTCCATTTCAAAAGGAATAGTTCTCGATGAATCAAGTAATAACTGTCAAGATACGAATGACATGGTTAAGGTAAGGTTAAGAATAAAAGACAAGTTTTGGTATTAATTAGTAACAGTTCTGGAGTTCAAGGCACTAGTTTGTCCTCTGTTTGTGAGAAACAGGAAAAAAACTAGTATTCAGAGTTTAAAAAGACTAGACCAAATTGTGCTTATTTCCATCATTAAAGCATATTTTTAACATCACAAGGCCAATTAACTTACGAAACATTCTTTAATTCGACTTAGACAAATCCGGAGGGCAATAGATACAGGAGTGTCCAATAGAACTAAAGTACCATAATTGCTTTCTTCAGTTAAATCAACGACCGCCTGATTGCTTGTAGCAGATGAATCAGAAGTCAACCAGTGATGTTCAAATTGTACAAGACTGGCATATGTTGGATATACAGCTGAATCTTTTGAGAACAGTGCACATAATGAACAAGAATCACAAGAACTGTTTTCTGCATTCTAGAAAACCAAAAACAAAATGCGACTATATAATTATAGGTCAAAAACAAATAATATTTTGTGCTCTAGAGGTAATTCAGTAAAACAACAATGCATACATTAAATCTATTACCTTGAGTTTACTAAGTATCATATTTACAAAATTCTGCTCATTTCACTTCACTAATTTCATTATTATAATTATTATTGTTATTTGATAATCATTCACCAATAGTACTTTTAAGTTTATACCACATCATCATCGTTATTATTGTCGTTATTTTCACCCTTGAACTTACGTCTGTTTTATTTTCTGTAGTATTCATATTGTCTCACACATCCCTGATTACGCTTAACCTTGAAACCTGTACTTTTCTTGACTATATATATATAAGGCTTGTATTAAGTTAGTTTAGGGATATTTTCACTTCAGGTTTAGGTTAAGGAAAGATAAGGATTATTGTTACGGTTAGATGACCTAAAATGTGATTAAATTCTCTCTGTTGATACTCCAATGTCAAACTAAGAGGTATTTTTGTTACATATCAGAGAAAGGTAGCCTGTGTAGCAGTTTCATGTCTTTAAATTCACTATTTTCATGAATAAATCTGTTTTATTCCCAAAAATCGCCTTTGTCATGTGGTTGATATGTTCAAGGTCATTTATCCGTTGGTACATAGTGGTTCTCAAAGTCTAACTTTTCCTGTTCTTTTTTATGCTTTAAAACTGTTTGAATTGTTTTAATGTGTTATCAGTCGACAACGACATATATATTTCACTTCAGAGTTGCATACAGTCCTTTGTGTCATTGCCATTCCTTGAAATTTAATTCTAGATCACTAAATTATTTTACCTCATGTTCTCATTGACCATGCACGTTCACAACTAACTGACTACTGTTCCACACTGTACTTTTGGTACAAGTATGGTATTTTCAGCATGTGATATCGATAGCCCAAATTTCGAAGGCCAACTATAGATATCAGGTGTGAGTCGGCAGGGCATCGAACTTCAGACCATATGCATGGTCGGCGAGTCCTCAACACTGTACCACCGACGCACAACACAAGCAGACGAAGAAGAATATAGAGAATGATGAATAGACAAGGAATATTCGGTCAGAAATAAAATGTCCTGAGGTACAGATTATACTCTAAAAAGCATAAAGATCATCATATCCACTATGTTCCACGCAAGTGGGACTCAGTCGATTTTTGTTTGTCTTAAGTGCTACATTAATTATTCCAAAATGATGTATAATACATATGTAGTTAGAAGCAGAATTGAAATGACGCATAAATATAAAACAACTATCTACAAAGTATCGAGTTGAGTAGGACGCACCATTACAAAACAAACTAATTGAGTACATTTTTATACCAAAAAGAATGACAGTAATTTAGGATGAATGAAAAGTTGGAAAAACCTTGTCGTGAAATACAATAAAACTTACATCCTCAACCCTGGTTATGTTGGATATTCGGAATCGTTTCGAACATACATCACATGAAGTACCTGTACTGAACATGGTCTTGAGTTCTGATGATATACTACAGTTGAGATTATCTTTTGATTGTTGACTATATACAGACTAGATTGAATAAAGAAGTCAAGCGACAACAACAGCATTTAGTACATTAAATCAAATTAATTTTTACAGCAAAATCAGATATAAACAAATTATTACTGACAATACTAATTCCTTCACTAGGCTGTTTTGAGTACAACAGTAATACATGAAAATTTACAAAACATTATAAAAAACGAAAGCAGCTTTTCAGGAAGTGAAATCGATTAAATTCAATTTTTCGATGCGTGTACACACCAAACACTATCGACCTAATATAGACTAGTCAGGAAAATACTAATGTAATAATAACAATAATTTCACTAGAGGATGAAAGCATCTTCAAAGAATAACTACATCCATTCTGTAAAAGTGAGAATATAAATAGAATTTGATTACTGCTTTAATAAATTTAATTAGTCAACCAAATTTTTGACGCATATAGTCGAGATACAACAAAAGTGAAGACTAGTTTGTAGAAATACAAAGAGAGGGAAAGAGTAAAGAAAAGATACCACAGAATGTAAGATATAAATCTTCTAAAACAGTTAGTAGAATGCATACCAAACTGAGGTGAGGACGACTAGTCCCCTTCAGGCACTACCATTTCACAGAGATGAGTGGAAAGATTATGCGCAACTATCATTACTAGGCTGTATTCATCATAAAGTCTAGTCATCCTTATGAATTAAGGAATTCTATGAGTGAAACTCATACAAAGCCTATTGAAGGATTCTAGGCCCATCGAAATAAACGTATTAGAATGGTAAATGGTTCCCGATATGATATGATACGACATACAGCCGCTTAGATGGATTTTTGTATCCACGATTGTTTGATAAGTCTATAGACACTCCTATGAAAAACTGGCGCCGATTTTTGCAGCATATCAGAAATATATGCCCTGTATAATTCATTTTTACTACATATATATCTCACAGATGTGATTTTTTAAAATATAATAAATGCCACTTTTGACATAAAAGAATCTGATTGGTTGGTTCAGGGTCATTTGATTGCGGTGTCTATTCGTTACCATCGCCCAGAAACGAAACTGGCTAGTAAACAAGCATTAAATCAAGCGTTTCAGTAAGTGAAATAAGACTGCTATACAAACAACAAAAAGTGCCCGTAGATATGAAGTTAAATTATTTTCTTAGCTCACACACGAATGCTAATCCGAAAATAATTTATATATACATATATATAAACACCTTCAAGTCACAAGTTAACAATTATCACTACTATTTTAATATTTGACGGCACGCTTCACAGACAAGTGGAAAGGGTGGTTATGGGCTCCCCAATGGGTCCCATTCTGTCTGATTTCTTTCTAAGTAAGCTATAAAATGGACCTTTGAACAACCTAGTCAGTAAGCTGTCATTTTATTGCCGATATATGGATGACGCCTTCATCCTTTGTGATAATGGATCTGATAGAGGTACAATAATCACTGAATTCAATGAAGTACATTCAGCACTGAAATTCACATGCAAAGAGGAATCCCAAGACAGAATTGCCTTGCTGGATGTCCTCCTTACAAGAAAACCAGACGGTAAAATAATAAGAGATTTGCATAGAAAAAGTACTTGGACAGGACAATATACACATTTTCACAGCTTCGTTCCTATCAAGTACAAGAGAAATTTATTGAAGACCCTCGGCCACAGAGTTAGAGCTATCTGCTCAGAAGAAGTGATTGAAGATGAATTAAGCATTGTATATGATACTTTGATCGAAAATAGATATCCCGAAAATTTTATCAAGAAACACATGACGAAGAAAATGGAAAAGGACTACTCACTATCAGTAAACAAGAAGCCACTTTATATACGACTACAATTTAAGAACGATATACCAAGTGAGATAATTACGAGGAGATTAAGAGAATCAGTTCAAAGAACTTTTAATGCTGGCGAACTACACGTATTATTCTCTACACGATCGATGTCGCTACCTCGACTGAGAGATGAAGTACCTAGACTAGCCACTTCTAATTGTATCTACCAATTCAACTGCGCTTGTGGAGCGAGTTATATTGGCCGTTGTCCTAGGAACTTGATTTTTCGTGCTCGAGAACCTCTCCTAGCATGGCTAAGTAAAGGTGTAGTGAAAACCATTAACAGTTCGATATTGGACCATCTGGTGCAAACCGGCCACAAAGCCAGTCAGCCAGGGTGGAAGAATCCTTCTCTATAATCTACCGGGTGCCTAATAAATTGCCAAAATCATCGAAACACCGCATGCTCCAAACAGCACAGGCTATTGCAATTCGCCTCAAACAACCAGTGCTCTGTGTTCAAAAGAAGCAAATACAGCCAGTACTACTGCCTTGGCCTTCAGTAGAGACTATAAATCCATGAATTCGTAATATTATCTTTCCTAATTCTCCTGACATTCAGCTTATTTTATGTTGATGCTATTGAGCTTTAATCTATTGATATTATTGATTCGATGTTATTTAAACAACGTTAATGTTGTTCATAACACTAATTCATTCATTCACTACAATGCATATATAACTGTAGAGCCTGATGATGAAGTTATCGAAAAGAGTACCCCTTTGTTCACTATCCATTCTTTTGAAATATTTAGTTTGTTAGAAAAAACTTCCCATGACTGTGAACGTAATGTTTACAAAAATACTCAAAACTAATACTCACCAGTCCATGTTCATAACCTGACAGACAAGCATCTTTAAAGGACTCGATGGAAGAATCCTTCTGGTGTTCGCTTGGAAATGTAGACAACAAAATCTGTGAACACAAAGTGTAAGACATAATATTGGTGTGGAGAATGCTACTTATAATCAGATATATAAGTAGTACATCAGCAAACAAATTCAAAAAAGTAACAATATGTTTTGGGCACTGGAGTAAAGCAATCAAAGCAGAGAACTGTGAGAAGAACGTTAGAAACCCTGTACACAATCCAACAAGCTACTGAGTGTGGTAATATTCGACCAATTTGTAAATGATGTGCAAATAAAGACTTAAAGATAGGGTATAGCGAATTGATGTACCTACAACACGTTTATCATAATAAACATTGTCTTCGAGCCTCACAGGTATTTTCTTCGTTACACACTAGCAGTAGCAATAACAATAATAATGTTTGAGAAAGTAAAAGTATGTAAAACAATGTAAAATTAATTTGAATACAGGACTGACTAAGTCAGTATTTTTATAAATCAGCAGACAAGTGATTCATTCTGCTGTTTCACTCTTGGAGCTGAATATCCCAATCATGATACGATTACGACATTAATTAACAGATTTCATACAATTTTATTTCCTTGGAAAAGTTTGAATTAGTTTGCCGATTGAAAGGTTAGTTTCAGTGAGAATTATAAAAATTTGAATTTCTACTTATGTCTACTTGTCAATCGGTGTTGATTGATTGTGGAACAACTATCCGGTGAAATCTTGATCAGAGTTCGTATAAAAAACGTTGGCCCATTCGTCAAGATTGGAGTAAGGGGGTTATAATTACAATATTTCATTGATCATATTAATAATTAATTTATGTGAAGTGAAGTAAAGAATATAGATTTGAAGAAGTTGAACGTTTGTTGAGAAATAAACGTATTTTGAATCACATAAAATGGTACAGGAAACGGAATTCATTCTCATCTAAGCCATGTTATACCGCATCTTTAGATGGTTGCCATCAGCTAATCCCATTCATTTAATTATTAATTAATTAAATGTGCACGGAAATCTATAAATATGTGTTGATTTCCTTAATAAATGATCTGTTACCTGGACCTTGTCTTTTGTTGTTACATTTGGGTTTTGATGGAGACATATGGATCTTCGGGAAGGACTTTGAGGCTTCTGCGCAGTCGAGTGGCGTTCAAGATCTGTCAGCGATGAGGCTGTTACTTGGGACGCTGCTGGGAGGTTGGGAGAAAGCAGCATATGGAAGTGTGAGGCGAAATACCGACGAATGTGAGACAGGGTTTTCTAGGTGGGAAGGACCACATATGGTCACGTTGAGATGGGGTTACGCAGACACGACCGCAATCGTAATCAAAGCGAAACAGGTGAACATCAGCGAGCGCTGAGATTCCAGATGCAAGACAGATTCACAACCAAACTTGTGGATTAAAAAAGGTCCTTACTACCACAAGTTAAATTATAGATACGAGGTACCCCTGAACAAGTTATCACTGTAACTTGATCTGGTGTACATGATCGGCGTGCTTCAGAACGGAGAAAAGTAACGTGCAGAAAAGATTAGCTATTTTCAGTAAGTAATCTGCACAGCATTCAGTGTGTCTTTGTAGGTTTTGTCAGTCCACTTCACACACCGTCTCATGCACACCAATCTACTTACTGTAGATGAGGGAATTATTTAAATTACAACTTGAATTTATATACATTCGGCATTCAGGCATACTTTTTATGTTAGGTGGGATCCGCTAAATGTCGATGACACTCTACATGAGTTTACAAGAAGCGACTGCATACTGGTGACAGAATCGGGTCAGTCGAGTGTGAAGACATATATCTACCGACGATATTTGATAGCATCTTTACTGTTGGTGGTGAATCCTGTAAGAGATGAAGATCATAGATTATTGTATTTTTACTTAGTGACTGAATGTTTCACCATGTAACCTGGACATCTTTGGCTTTATCTACCACATAAGTAATGAATACTGAAGATCTAAAAAAGAAGTGCTGTTCTCAGTAATTATTCCGGTTAACATTAGTGCGGAACACAAAAACCCTGAGGTCACATTGTTAAGATTTTTCTATACTTTAAGGAATGGTAGTTAGCAATTCAAACGGGTGAAAAACAGCTTATTTGAGTCGTTAACTGATATACCCCACTAGGGACAAGTATTCTAGTGATGGCTTATGACTTTCTTTTAAAGAAAAATTTTCAACGTTTTCAACAAATGCAAACATTAAAAAGTGACAAACCTTTAGCAATGAATTTGAATCAGCCTCTTCGTAGCTTGGATAGTTACAAGAAAATTTCAGATATAAATCTTGTAGAGCACTTTTTGTATTGGAAACAAGTGTATTTAGCTTTGTTAGATGACGATCAAATATATCCGACAAAATGATAACTTTCTGGTTAGTTGTAACTAAATTTAATACATGATTAGAAGTTGAAGGTGAAGTGAAGAAAGCACCCAAGTGACACAGAATCTCCGTCTGAAGTGGAAATGTAAGACAACGAAAACATTAGCAATTTACCGAACAAAAAAAAAAAATACAAAAGTGAAATGAACAATATGGAAGCGAATGCATTAGTTAAATAAAATTTATACAAATATATGATTGATTCAGTTCAAAGTAATGGGTAATATAGTAGTTTATGTTATACCCCATGGTGTACAGCTTAAGATAAAAATATGTTTCGCCAAAGTACTTTTGTGGTGAGAGCTGGCTTCTAGCCAAATTGGTAGACAATAACTTACGTCCTCAATATTGGTCGTGAGAAAAATATGAACAAAGACTGATTCAACAACCAACCACAGAAGACTTTGCGTAGGTGGATACAGTTAACATATAGATGATCTGACATTCAAGAAACAGCCACAGAGAGATGAAAGATTAACTTTCAGTGAGAAGCAACCGATCAGAAGACTGTTTTTCTCCTAACAATGATATATAATAATGTACATGAAAATCTATAAATGTGTTGATTTCCTTAATAAACGATCTGTCGCCTGGCCCTTGTCTGCTGTTGTTACACTTTCAATATAAATTATCAGTGTCAGGATCACCAACAAAAAATACTTTACAGTGATCACTTACATATAAATGTTGTAGTGTCGTATGCAAAGAAAAGAAGTTATCAGGCCATTAATTAAAAAAAAAACTATATACCTTTAATTATAAAACAGTAAGAAATTTTTCTTTATGTAATGTAATTATATAGTCAGTTAGTGAATGCAGATATAAAGGTTGTTGAAGTCACACTTAAAACAGCGTAAGTTTACAATTATCATTTGCAGGTATCCAGCTGGCCTTCTACACCCAAATTCTAGTTGAAGTATGAAAGAGAAAAGTCTGGTGATACTTTTCACCAAAGTCGATTCTCTGGAAAGTCCAATATCAGATAACGGTATGATGTTTAGGAATCAAACTGAATCTGTGGCTACACTGAATTGGAGGATATTCCGAAACAGAGTGTGTGTAAATATCGAAACTAGTTTCATCTTTTTGTCATATTATCCCAACAAAGGTACTTTTATCTTTTCTAAATGTGCCTTTATTCGTTTTTCGTTGAATTCCCAATTTACCTAGCCATTGCAGTTCTGATGTATGTATTCGTGCTTCTTAGGGTCTTACTAAGTCGTCAAGTAACTAATGAATTTCTCTATTTGTGTTACTAAGCTGAAGTTCAGGAATATAGCCTATTATCTAATTTTGAAAACATGCAAGAACACTACTTTTCTTTATCGCTTGTTCTACTGAAACATTACTACTTAAGAAATAAACATTTTGGATATTTCACTCCTTGAATAGCTGCCAGCACTTGGGGTACCCAAATACAATGAATCCCTTTGCTCAACGGATAAGGAAGTGCTTTTGGAAGTGTGTGGGCGGTTGTTACTTCCCGGCTGCCCACACCATGGAAGCTGATTAATTCTTCGTGTACCTGAAACAGAGAGTGTTGCGTGACCACAGAGTCCAGGGGACAACTGTTTGAGGTCGGTCACACACGGCCTGTATGAACTGGTTTCTGGGATTGGTTCCGTATTTGTAAACTTACCGCCGGTTACGAACCACCGTAGGGTAGGTCGGGATGTACAATTTTCGGGGTCGACCTTTTCTAACCCCCTCCCTCCCTCCGGACTGGAGAGACAACATAAATGGTGTGGTGGTTATCTGAGGGGAACACCTCACTGCTGTTACACCCCTGTTCCCCAGCAGTACGACTTCGCCCTCAGACCCCCAGCATAGTGTAAGAAAGATTCTTACACGATGCCAGTCTAATCGCTATCCTAACAACCTTCCTGGCATGGTAGGACCTGCAGGAACATATGTTTCAGCCAGTGTAGCTTTTTGGGTCATCGCGATATCCAAGCACGACCACCACGGCAAGGTAGCAGTTATCGGTCGGGGCTCAACGGATAAATCAATAAGCTAGCTATAAACACCTGTCATCTTGATTGAAGGTAATGATAATATTAATATCAGCAAAAGAAACCCTACTTTTTCTCGCTTCAGCTAAGTTTATCATTGAATAAAATAAGCCGAGATCTACCTAAGCTCTTAACGTAGGAGAAAATTATGTGTTTGAGTAAATACGTTAGTGAACATTAAAGCCACAAGAAACTATATACTTTGTATATACTGTAAACTAAAGAGGAACAGAAATATGTACACCGGGATTATTATTCATTGTGTGCGGGATACATTTAAAAAAAAATAATAACACACAAATTAGTGAACTAACTTCAATTAAATTTGGATGCTTGATGGATGGAATACACTTGTCTCGTGTACAAAAGTTAAGAACATCATCAACACGTCGTTTCAATAAACTCTTGATTTGGATAACATCTTCGGATACAGCGACAAGTTGAATACTAACAATATGACTGAATGAACGTTCATCTAGTGCTTCGATAAGTTGATGTTCATCATCTGGTGATATAACTTGTCGGTTAACAGCTGTAAAATGATCAATTCCAAGGTCTTTGAACTGACATAGAATATCCTCGATTTCTTGACATGTAGAAGACCTGTTTAAAGAATAGCTAGAATTAGTAAGAATCAATAGTTTTATGATGCTAATTAAGAAATAAATAAATAACCAACACTTGAATATCAATGAGATGCTCACTAGCGACTGGCCCTATTCAGGTAGGTAGTTACCTGGGGTTCCAGTGAGAAGTCGTGACCGGTAGGGTGCAGCAGGTTTGGTGTGAGGATAAATACTCGCCGAAGACATTGGCTAGCGGTTGCGCTATGTCGTGAATTGGTAGAAGTTAGAATTCATGGGCCATTGGATCGTGTCCTAGTGGCTTAATGGTATACGAGCTCGCCTTGTAACCAGAAGGTTCTGTGGTTCGAATCCCGGTGGGTGTATAGTGATGAAGAGTCCCAAACTAGGACGAAACAGCTTTTCCAATGGTTCTCTAACTAATGTTAGCTCATAATGAAACCCTGTAACCAATCAAATCCCTACAAACCAACACTTGAAAAGTATAATATCTTGAGTGAAATATATTCAAACATATTTTTGAATATCTTCAGTATTCACTCTTTATGCGATTCACTCACCCCACCTTAGGTTTTCTTTTTCTATTAACCTTGACTACCGATGCTACAAAATATAGATATTTTCTATTTACAGAAAAACATTTCATGCCCTTAACACTCTAAAAAACCGTACAAATACACACCAATCAGAGTAATTTAGATAGTGAAGAATACATATCAAAAACACAATCAACTATGAAGAAAAAAGTTATTACAATGAGAATTAAAACAATTTACCTTGTGCTGTTAAGAGCTTCACTTAAGCTGCCTATCAAAGTTTCAGCTTTTACACTTATTTGAGTTAATATTCCTACAGAAGTATGCATTCGAGCGAGTATAAATCTTAGGATTTGAATTAAAGCAGTATCCGCGCTACCACCCCCACCCCCACCAACAACAACAATAACATTTGTGCCACTGTTTGAAGATGGTGACGGTGACATCGATTGATTTTGTCGACCACTTAATATTCCTGATGATGATGATGATGACGTGGTTGAAAGATGTCCTTTAGAATGAGATTTTTGGCTACATGAAGTAGCAGCTGTTAATCGTGAGATAATTTCTTCACCAAGAGCTAAATAATACCGAAGTCGAGGTAATGACCAGTACAAACACTTTGTCTTGTTATCATAACGATTATAAATGCACAACCATCTAAGCGCATGTCGTAGCTAAGAAAAACAAAAAAATGAAAAGTAGTATATAGAAGGCCCAAAAGATTTTGCAACAATTACTGAATTCAAATAGGAATTAGTGAGAAACAAAATGTGTAACATTTAGAATCATGAAGATTCGTCTGTCTGTTTTCGACATAGAACTTTGCACCGACGTGCGACAGTTCAAGTCACCATACTCCCTCCACGTAGCACAAAACGCAAGAGAAGAAATGCATATTAGAGACAGTAAACAGAGATGTGAGACAAAGGAATAGTAATAACGAAGAAAAATATAGTTTCATTGGAAATCATAAGTCACAGGGAGTGGATGCATCTGCGCCAATGAGAATGATTTTGAGCCATATCACCAATTGTTTCCAACCTTCATTGGTTTTTACCGTCCCGAGGACCCCAACCAGGTAACCAGTCTACACCTCCCAATGTGGCTGGTTTAAACTAATTGTTATGGATTTCATTGACTGGTGCCATGTTTTGGTTTGACCACCGCTAGCTTTTTTCCAGCCTGACCCTATATCCGCTAACATTGCCCGTCGAGGAAGGCGATCAATGACTAGGCATACGTAACACAAGTCCTAACCATATCAGTCGATGTAATTTCACAGTCTCGTCTATTGATTTTCTCTCCTTACCTAGAACTCGACGCCTAACCTCATGAAGATTCATTTATTTTGGGATAGAAGTGGGATACACTTTTCTGGTGTAACTAGGGAGAAGTAGTCTAAGGAACTCAAAATTGTATGGATAACAATGGAAGCTTTTGTTGTTGCAAGCATATTGAGAGTATATTAATTGCTTCTTAAGTAACAAATTACTTTTCCACTTACAAACTGTCTTGAATATTTGGCAGACTAAATTTAGTCCTGAATTACACAGTGTTTTTGACTAATTCTTTGTTGGTATCAATAGGTAAAACTGACGGGGAATTTTTTAAGGGAAAAATTTCTGTAGTCTTTTATAGAATAAAACTGGACAGTATCCATAATCTGTTGACAAGACAGTCTCGTCATATAAAGGGGTAAGAAAAACCAAAACGGACATTAGTAACACTAACACTATCCTAAATACTACATTAATTACAAGGATATTATACTGAAATTGAAAATTCTTTCGACAACTTCAGATTTTGAATAACGCAATAAAAACTGTTTTTAATTATATAAATAGAGGGAATCACCTATTACTGCAGGTATGTTGACGACATGTTTGTGATTTGCAGCAATATGGATTACGCATCTACGATTTTTAAAAACCTCAGTGCTGCTCATCCTCACACAGTATTTACAATGGACCGTGAACGTGACAATCACTTCCATTTCCTAGATCTCAATATAGAAAGAAGAAATGATGGGACGATTGAAATATCCATCTACAGGAGAGAAACTTGGACTGACCAGTACCTGAATTATCACAGCTTTCGCCCGATCGACTACAAACCGAACCTGGTGAAAACGGTCTTCAGAAGAGCTAAGGTGTTGTGTTCAGAAGATAAGATGGAAGAGGAACTCGAAGTCATGGAAAAGAACCTTATCGAAAATGGATGCACTAGGAAGATCATATCAAAATATGGAAAGGAAACACCACCTAGATCGAAACCCGAAGTAGTTGAAAGGAAACCAGTTTTTGTCTGTCTGGCGTATAGAGACGAAGTAGTATCCATAAGAACGGAAAACAAAGTTAAAGGTGCACTGTAAAGGACATTTACCACCGCCAGACTCATTCCACTTTTTTACAACAGAGTATGTGCGTTAATTCAATCAAAAGTAGATTAGTATCATGCTCATGTCAACTCTAACTGTATTCACTGATTCATCTGCACTTGCGGCAGCAGGTACGCAGGAAGGAATGAAAGGAGAACGTCTACTAGATTCTCCAAGCATATCCCTAAAAGACTCCGTTTGAAAGGCAGCAAAGTCTTCTCAAGCGCAATCGCCAGACACCTAATTGATACGAGACATACAGTCGAAATTATTCAGGCTTTCAAAATAATCAATACATAAAGAAAAGCAAGGTTACTTCGGTTCGCAGAAGCCACTGCGATCGAAAGACTTGGACTCAACCTATGCATACAGAAAGATAGTGGGACTAATCTCTCACTACGTTGGTAACCATAATTGTTCTATTCGTGTGCTTTTGTATATTGTCCTGTTGCATAACATTCTACTGGATCTTGATTTTGACTATAACTCACTATTAAGTTCCCAAAATCTACTAAATTAAGGTATTTTATCTATTTTATAATTTTACTTCACTATTCATCTGCATTCTCCTGAACTCTCTACCATAATATGTATAAACGTACTATGTTATTCTATCTTGTATTTTGTATCTACTGCATACATCCTTATTTCCAAGAAAAAGCTGAATTCCACGCCTATGTCTAATCACTATATAAATAGTTACTCTTTTAACGTTGAATAATTGTCTACTTATATCATCTTTGAAATTATGTCAACAGTACTTCTTATCTATAACTTGAAGTCATTGTAAAGAGTGTGTAGCTTATAATTGGTTTATTTAAGATGTACGTAGTTGACGAGAATCCAAGAAATAAAACAAGCCCACATTATCCTACCAATATGTTCATTCACTCTTTATTCAAAGAAACATTTACCTCAATTAAATCACTTATTGAACAAACGTTACAAACTATATATTTTTAATAAAGGAAGCACCAGTAACTGATAACACACAAACTTACGAGATCGAGGGAATTCCATTCAGCAATACGATAAACATACAAGGGGAATTCACTTCGTAATTTCTCCAGTGTATAATCAAGAAGGAGTAAAGCCTGATCATCTGTTGACAAAAGGTGAAAATTCTTCGGAATGTAATCTGAACTGAAACCAGCGTTGGTTAAATGGTCTGATACACAAAATGTAGTAGAAATGCTTCGAGTGGCATTCGTTAGGATTAAATTACATAGGAGGTTAATTGTGTCACGAGCTGACTGGTGCCAAACTGTTAACTGATTGATGAGTCTCTTGATTAATTGAACAGAAGAATCCTCTAGCATATTAAGAGGATGTTGTTGTTCACAAGCTTCTATCAATCGTGTCAGGTCATGTTCCCGAGGACTGAGGTATTAGAGTAAAATAGAACAATACACACATTAGGTCATTTTATAAGGCATATTTAATCTTACAAATGCAGTTTCACAAATATTACTTCTCGGTAAATTAACTGAAATCAGACCAGTAATCAAGCAACTTAGAGTAAAATAGTGGATATCCCCCTCCCACATGCGACAGAGTAATTTGATTTTAGTTTATTTCAAATCCCTGAGATAATTTAAAAACTCCCATTAGACATTTAACACAAAAAAGGTTTGAGCAGCTAACAGTTCAAAATAAATTGCTCCATTATACTTTCCGGTTATGAATCTGTTATGTACTCGTCGCTGAATTATTGTTATGGACTGGTCGAGAAACTAATAGTCCTGACGCGAGAAGGCGGAAATCAGAAAACCACTAGGTTTGCGATGATACTTCTATTGTCCAACACAAGGAGACGAAATAAATGGTCTCACACCAAAGTGGTAAGCAAGTCAAGTAGTTGTAAAGTAAAGTAGTTCACACAAATTGTGAATGCGAATATATATAAATAATTCAGACAAGCGTGGGAAAAATCATTAGACAGTCTTAACATGAATGGCTAATTATAATGGAGTGTCGATCCAATTATACATAGCGAATATAGCAGACATGCCAACAAACATATATGGATATATGTCACCAAGCAACGGACTGTCAACAAACACTCATATTATATATAATATAATATAAGGAGAATACACATTGATAAAGGAGACAGGTTCATACAAGTGAAGTGGTCACAGACTAACCGAGCAAACAGAAAGAGAGACCAACATGCACACACACACATAAATATATATATGTGGATACATACCAGAATCCAAACATGGAATCAAACAGTAACCCAGTATAGACAGAATTATAATTGAATCAGAAAAAATAAAATGCGATCGAACTAAAACATGGAATCTTAGTTTGACATGGGATTCAATTGCATGAGAAAAATACAGTCAGTGAAGACATGAGACAAATGACTAAGTGATGTGATGGGATTTACAGCTTAAGTTACATGGGGTGAGTTATTGTTGGTGAGATGGGAGATAATGCAAGACAAGGAACAAATAGAATAAGTTTAGCGTAAATTTACAGAACGACACATAACAAAAATAAGGATGTGATGTAAACTGGGTAAAAAGAAGTGAGAAGGGTAGAGAGCATACTGTTAAAATGTAGAGCGATTTAATACACATTAACATATGAGATAATTACGTCAATGATTATTATGGCTTGAGTGTGTGGGTTTCCTGTAAACACTAGTGTTTAACTTCCGATTTTCTTTCCGTTTTGCGCTACAATATAACACTGGAGGCTCCCCTTCCTGACTTTCCGATTCATAAGTGAATTGAATTCCCTCCACATTGGAGTTGATTTGTTCAGAAAATCTGTTTAAGCCCTGTGTTCTAATTACAGTAAATGTGTCATCTACATACTTCTTTCATACTTTTGGAGTGGGGCTGAACGTTTCAATCGCTAACTTCTCCCACCCACCCATGAATATACCTGCCACAACCGGGGATATTGCTGACCCTATGGTAACTCCCTCAGTTGGTTTGTATATTTTTCTCTGGAATTTAAATACTGCGGAAGTCAGACATAGCTGCACTCCCATTATTACGTCCTCAAGTGGCACTTTCGTTCCAAGTTCAAGTTCTTGGACAGAAATGAGTTCGTTTCTAACTGCCTCTATAGCTATATTTATTGGTATACATGTGTATAAACTGACAATGTCAAAACTGACCATGTTTTCTTCATTATCTAATTCTAAATAATCTAATCTATGTGTCAGTTCATAAGAATTTGTTAGTCTAGATTTTGAGTGGCTTTTAAGGGGATTTAATATCATGGCTAAATATTTAGACAATTCATAGGTAGGTGAATTTCTAAAATCAAATATAAGTCTATTAGGATATCCTGGCTTATGAACTTTAATAACACCATATATCCTACTTGGGTTATAAGTTTTCAGCATTAAATTAAACCATTTAGACTCACCGAAAAACAGCTTCATTCGGCATATAAGGTCCGCCGTGGATTTCTTAATCTACTCATAATAATGTCTATTGATTTCTTAATATGGTCCTGTTTGTATGCGGGTATTCTCAGCTTCTTTAAACAGTCTCATCTACCTAATATTATTGTTGTATTTCATTTGTCTGATCTAGTGATTACTATGTCTCAAGGTGTTTTAGCTCTTCAATTTCTGGTTTTGTCAGGTTAGGTTTTCCTCTTTATTGTCGTTTTAATGTCAGTGCACATTGTGTCTGTACTTCATCGGCCGTTGTTTTGTCTATCCCTATTTCTATTTTAGGGATGACATCCTCAGGTTTCAGCTTGTCTACCACTATAGTGAAATTTATTCCTTTTTCTAATACACTGATTTCTAACACGGACTGTTTCACTGTGTGACAATATTTAATGAACAAATTAATACGGAATATATATGTAGTTGACTTCAAATAATGAAAGTTGCATTTTGGTTTATTATGAATCTATATCAATTAGAAACAAGCTTTGTTGGTTAAAGGATCCTATGGAGCCTTTAAAACAAAACAATTTAGTTCACCTCTAATTACCCTGCAATGACTGTCAGGTCAAATACATGCGTCAAAGTAGTTAGAACAGGGACAGTCAGACTAGCCAAACATAAAAACCTAACAAAATCTACATTCGTTGACCCGAATAGGATAAGAAAGCTGGAGAATAGTTCAGATATACCACTCACTACATGCAATCACACACAACCATACAATAGGATGAGATAAGATGACAGTTTTAAAATCTAATGTAACAGAGTGGAGGGAGAGATTGATAACGGAAGCTTTATTTATCAAACCAGCTGCAAATATGTGCAATAGGAATGATTCAACACCTGTCCATTCGGATAGGAGGAAAATTCTACTACCCCTACGACGAATAGGAGAGAATAAAGAAAATTAACGAAAGTTTCGAAGTTGTGTGGTTATAATTGATATGATTATGAACAATAAATTGTGTTCGAAATGTCATCCAGTAAATAATACAGTTTCCCTGTGTGATATATCTAGTAAACAAATTAATGTGGAATTATATACCACTACAGTGGCCAAGTTTTACACATATACTAATACCTTTACAAAAGCAATTCAATTTATATACACACACATTTTTAAGGCAATTTGGCAGTGGATGTCTGTTGAGAAATTGATAAGTACTTCTGTGGACTTGATTGTGTTTTCAGTAGACCTACTGAACTGGTCACTTAATATATTACGAGACATTTTGGATACTTTTAGGAAAATCTTCTTAATGTATCACACAAAATTTTATTAGTCCTCCAGTAACATACTTCAACTTCGCTTCCAAATACATACACCTAGCATCAAAACGACGAGACATTTATTCCGTCATAAAAATACATGTGGATAACTGTTGATGTCAGTTTGACTCGGAAAATGATAACTTTAAACACTGGAAATAGCAAAAATGACAGGGAATTCTAAGAACTCTGTTAGTCCGATCAATCTTAATTTAGCAGACATGTTGACACATCAGATTTATCAATCAATAAAAAACACATCACACGGAGAAAGGGTCAGATACTAGGCGAACACAGAACGATCGATATCAATACAACTTTATACAAGGATACGAAGAATTTTGAAAACGACCAACTACACTCAAAGACAATCACGAGAGAATTCCAAAATAGTCACCACCACACACTATAGAGCTGGAGATACAATCCAAAAGGAAAATGAAAGCTCCGTGGTAGTTAAACCATCCAGTTAAAAGAGTACAATCAAACCGAGAAATCAGCCAGATTCCAGATATTCTGTTAAATCAAGTAGTAGAAACGTTGAATTAACTAAGTAATTAACTGACCATGGAGATGAAAATGACAAAATGAATTTCAGAAATATAAGAAGATAAACTTGGGAGCCAAAAGTGAATATTTTTTGAACAACCACCCAAGTCAAAATGACGCACGAAAAGCTTAGCAGGTTGTTTTTTTCAACATACTACAAATTAAGGATGTGCCACGAAAAACAACGGAAGAAGCTTTGATTCAAGACAAAGCATTTTCAATTGACAACAGTTACAACTCATGCATAACAAACTATCCCCACTTACTTGTTAACATCAAATTCATGATTAAGAACAATGTAGCCTTGATTTGGAGGTAGTTTCACAACTTTACTTGCAGTCGGAGACCCAGAGGTTGCGGCAGAGACCACAGTAAAGTAGCAGGACGTCGAGTTTGAAACTTTACCATTTCGACAGTTGATGAAGACAAGGCAGTAGAAGAGTTCATAAATCTATCACTGGCTCCTGTATCGATAATAGATTTTAATTTCATACATATTTGTTGAAGATGTTTTCCACGGTCGAGTAGTGATTTAGCTTCATCAAAGATATCATCAGTATGATATCCAGCTTTGATACCTTCATTCAACTTCATCTGGATATATTTATTACAAGTAAACAAAAAGGATACAAATACGTGAAACTATGGAAAACTCTATTGTTTAGAAACAACTAGATTAGTGATACACCTTAAATCAATGAGCTTTTTCGCAATATAATTGAAGTTCATGCTGAAATTTAAAGAATTTTTCTAGTGTTTTTATTTCTTTTATATGTTTACTAAAAAAGGATGAGGAATTCAATTGTATGGAGACGTTAATCAGGATACATTAATTAAATTTTCACTCCTTACTCGTGTTCTGAAATAAGGATACACCAACATATAGCACATAGCATGTGTTTTTTTACGTCAAGAAGACATTTAAGTATGCTAAAATTGTTTCTGTAGATTTAATTGGCCTGTAAGCAGCTGATGAGAAGCCAACCAAATAAATGATGGTACCATTTTATTCTGTCGTTGCTTTATCCAAATTCATTAAGGAGAATAAAGGTATGGAATTCAATTTGATTGTTGATCGAGAAACAGCGTGACAGTGCATATGTGATTTAACAAGAGATAACGCTTATTAAAACATTATTCCATTTTACGTAGCTGCTGATCAATGGGAAGATTTATCAGATATATCGAAAACAATTAGTGCTGTGTATTGTAGATATTCATTCTCATAGTCCTCACTTCACTTTTTTATGCATGTATCAAAAGAAGTGATCCTCAATCCTTACCTTAGGACTTCACTTAGTACTTGGAAAACAATTGATTGACTTAAGATTACGCAGACAACGTAATCTTGTTTTGAGAAAATGTTAACATGAAAACTATTCAAAAAATACTGTGGAAAATTCCAGATGTTTCATAAATTAAACAGTAAGTGAATCCCAATGATATTACAGAAAAGGTCAGCACCAACTTCTAGTTTGAAGATATTATTATTTCATTTAATTCCTAGAGGAACATAGGGCTTCAGGAGCACATCTCTATTGCGTTCGGTTCTCTGCCAACTTTTTCACCCCGCTCCATGTCTGCCCACATGCTTTCATCTCCTCTTCATATGACCTCCTCCAAGTCACCCTTACATTGACGACCAACTCGCCGCTTCCCTTTCGGGTTCCACTCGAGCAATGGCTTGTCTAGTGATGTCACTTGATGACTTGTTTCCTCAGAGTATGGCCAGCCAATCCACCTCCATTTCTTCCTGCCTATTTGTTTCACAATCGGTTCCTGATTGGTTCGCTCATTGCCAGGGATCCCACCCTCTGGCTGATCTTTTCTGGCCGACCATCTGATCTTGAGTATTGAGCGAAGACAACTGTTAATGAAGGTCTGAAGTTTGTTTGAGATGCTCTTTATGACCCGCTGGCCAAGTCTCTGATACGTAAAGTAGCAGTGACTTCACATTGGAGTCGAAAAGCCAGATCTAATTTTTCATGCTGAGTGCTGTTGACTTCCACACAGACTTGAGAGAAATGAAAGCTTATCTTGCTTTTCTGCTTCTGGCTTTGATGTCCTCGTCAGTTCCGCCTGTAGTTGAAACGATGCTTCCTAGATAGGTAGGTAAAGGAGGTTGTTTTTTTCAGGTTCCTCGCATTTAGGCCGGCTGATTGTTATCTGTTCTTGTTGCTGTTGGCCAGGAATCTTCATGACCTCTGTTTTCTTTATGTTCACCTGAAGTTTTGTCTTCTCTGGATGCTTCTTCTGCCAGCTTGTTGCTTTTTCACTTGCATATCTTCCAGTGATGGATTAACTGAATACATCGTTTATCATTCACGAATTTGCACTACATGTTTTACCACAAGTATTCGTGTATCTACTCAAAGAAGCCATCTTATGCGCAATGTTCTACTATAAATTGTCTGTTCGATGAACTTATTAAATATTACCACTTAATTTAGAAAAGGTAAATACAAAGCCTAGTTTATATGCTTGTGAGATGAATTCAGAAGAGAATCTAAATGCACTTCAGTACACTAACCATAAATAAAGCTGCTCAATAAGTAAGACAACTATTAATGTGCTATACACTTTAGCGTAGTACAATTTCTGTGATAATGGCATAATCGATGTTGAAAATGTAACAGAACAGATACTTCCGAGGGTATCTGCTGAATATTCACTAGTAAAAGTGTAGTGATGATGAGTCCTTTGAGAAAACAGTGGAATTTGCTAAGATACTGAAAGAGTAAAATTGTAACTATATTAATTCTAAAAGCTATTTATAAATTGTCACTTTTCTCCGTGACCAATTGTTGTTAGTCTCAGTATGTTCTCAGACAATTAAGTTAGTAATGTTCAGTTACAGGATTTCATCATAAGCTGATATCGATTAGAGAACTATCGGAAAACCTGGGAGTACCGGGCAGCTGTTTCGTCCTATTTCGGGACTCTTCAACGGTACTCGCTCACCGGGGTTCGAACCCAGGACCTTCCGGTTACAAGGCGAGCTCTTGCACCACTAAGCCACTGGGACCTAATCCAATGGCCGGTGCATGAATTTCAACTTCTGCCAATTCACTACACAGCGTGACCGCTAGCCAGTGTCATCGGCAAGTATTTGTCCTCACACCCAACCTGCTGCACGACTTCCCACGAGAACGCCAGGTAACTATCTAACTGAATAGGGCCAAATTTTATGTATGGATGGTCAAATAAAAAATTCGAATCAGTCGATGGAATCTTTGGCAATTAGTTTGAGCCACTTAGGGAGATGTGGACTACTTGGTTGGGGTACTCGAGATACCAAGGACCAATAGCTGGAGATGACTACCTCAAAATCGTTCTCAGTGATGCAAATGCATTGTAACCTTCCACCACATCTGTTAGGCACTAATGTTTTTCCATGTTACTATTGTTTCAACCTCACATCTTTGCTTATTATAATACTTTTGTGTGCTAAATGGGATGTGGTAACTTGAACTGCCATAATTCTGTACTAAGTTCTATGTTAAAACTCAGTCAGTCAAATTTCTAAATTTGAAAGAAGTACCAAACAAATTTAAATGTTTTTTGTTTTTCTACTTGCAACCTAGATAAAAGTTATAGGATAGAGAATGATAACCTTCCATTCGCTGGTTGAGATATAGTGTAGAGCTATATAAACGAACACTACGCTAGTGTGCACATAAAAACCATGGTTTCTTAAATGTCATACACACATAAATGAAAAGTAGTTTTATTAGACATTCAACAAATAAAACCAACAACTAAACACACTTATTATTGTTGTTTGTGTATAAGTTTATGATGTAGTAAATACAACACACAGTTAAGCATGTTTCCTGCCAAACATTTCCTTACCTCAAGTTCCTCGAGAGTTAAAGTGCCTGAGAGTAATTTATAGGATTCACAAACAGAAGTTGAATTCTGGTCATCAATAGGTTCTTTTTTGATCATTTGATTACTACTCGAAAATGATGATGATGATGAAGAAGAATTGGAATCGTTGGGTTTGATTAAAATAGACATCTGATTTTTCCATGAATAAAAGTGAGCTAAGCGTTCAGCCAAACATTGCTCTAAGCTACACAGTTCATCAATTGAATAATGATAGTTCAGCACAAAGACTGAACGTGGGCATATACTGCACAATTCGGAAACATGTTTTAAGCACACCATATGACTAGGTTTTCTTTCCTCTGGAGTTAATTAATAAAACAAAGTAAATTGCTAGAGTATACTAATTCAATATACTGGTAAAAAATATAAATTACAGTAAAACATAAAATAATTAAGAAACTAGAGCAGACATGGTATTACAGTAAAGGGTTAATATTATTAGATACACACTAGTGTAATCAACAAGAAAGATACTATATTAGACTGAATCTACAATTCCTGAAGACTACCTCATAGACAAAAGACAAGGAAAATCAAGTGTTGATTAATGCACTTCAGAAACAGCAATTTTTCTACATTCACTCACAATTTCACTGTAAGCAGTGTAACTTAATACACTTGGTGACTAACATCAGATAAATACATGATAAAGAGAGCTGATATCTTGAATGGACCATTACCTGCGACTTGTCTCGAAATACGCCCAGTAGCCACAGGACTGCCAGTAAACATCAATCCTCTGACGAAAGCAGAAGTCTTGGATGCAATACATCTACTGAAGGTAGCACTGAAAAAGGATCTAAAAACTTCAGGGGTTATCCTCACGTTACTATTATGGAAAGTTTTGACGGAAGAAAAGTTACCTACTAATTGGACTTTGATAAGGCCTTCAACAGTGTTGATCGTGAAGTAATTTGGAAACTGCTTTAAAACTACGGGGTGCCCTAAATTCTTATCAGGGTCATTCAACAGCCATATTGACAAACGCTACATGTCAAGTGATCCACGACAGAAATTCAACGAAGTCTTTGAAGTGGAGATAGGTGTAATAATAATAATAATAATAATAATAATAATAATAATGATTTACTTTATTCCAAAAACAGTACTTGTGATACAGATTGGAATTTTCAGCATTAATCACAATATTGCATCTAATTTCCTCAAATTATAAATAAAATTAATCACACAGAAAATTTTCCACATTTACAATAGAGGTAGTGTCAAAAACATGCAGCATATAAAATGGAAATAGCAATAATAATGATAACAGCTAGGGTAATAATAATAATAATACAAGTGAAAATTGCCGTTGGCTTGTGTCACACAGTATTGGCAATGTGGTATAGAAATCCTAACATGTTTAAAAATATTGAATATAATGTTCTCTTTACATGATATGGTGAGGGGAAAAACAAAGATTACAGCCGTCATGGAGATAAGTTGGTGTTTGCAATTATGAGAGTAAAACAGAAAAGTAACAGGACCATAAATATAATAGAAGTAATAAAAGTAAAACTTGAAGGTATGTAAGGATGGATGGAGGAAATTGTTTATTTACTAGATGAAAGAAGGTTAGTTAATTCTTGCCTGACACTATTTTCATCACATAAAATACGTGCCAAGTATGGTATCATAGAATTCTTATACTTAGACGTGCGAGCATACAGTTTTCTGAAGTTACTCCTTGTTCTACCTGAGGAGATGCAAGGTGAAAGCTGAGGGTAAAGCGGATGCTCCAAGTCAGACAAAATCCCTTTAGCAAATTTATTGCACGAAGTCAAATGCCTATCGACAACGACGTTAACTATGTGGTCCACTGGGACACCACTCACTCTACTGACAGTCTTCAGTATTCTACGAATTGTGACATAGTCTTTTTTAAGCAAACCAGGAAAGAATAAGGGTGAGCAATAAAGAAGAATAGGTAGGATGCAAGAGTTTACGAACTGTAGGATGAGGGGTTGAGTTATACCCGAGTGTCTTAACTTCTTAATGTAAAATGTCAAGCGGAATATTTTACTGGAGATTGCTAAGACATGGGAAGACCAGGAGAGATCAGAAGAGAGAATGAGTCCAAGATACTTAATTTCTGATTTGATTCCAATATCATTGTCGTCAATTTTACAAGTGTCATGAGAATCGATGACTTCTTTTAACTGTCGTTTACATCTTAAGCTGAAATCAACAGTTTGACACTTAGAAGGATTCAGTTTAAGACCGTTAGACTCAGACCATTTGCTGACTTCCGATAGAAAGCTATTTATTTTAGTACAATCTAGCTGGGAGTTAACAGCCATTGAAACCGTTAAATCATCAGCGTACTTCACAAAGTTTATTTCATCAGAGTGAGGCAAGTCGTGCAAGAAGAAAGAAAAAAGAAAAGGAGAAAGAACAGCACCTTGAGGGACACCAGCTTCAGTAGGCAATGAAGTGGAGGACTTCCCTTTATATACGGTGTACTGCTTTCTATCTGAGAAATAGGAATGCAACCAGTTAACAGCCCAACATTCTGTTTGACTAGCAGCAAGTTTATTTAATAAGATGTCCCTAGGGACCGAGTCGAATGCAGATGTATAGTCTAGGAAGGCGCAACGAACAAATTTAGCCCCCTTGTCTAGACTGGAAGCAATGTTATGATATAAGACGGCAGCTGCATCTAAAGTGCTTCTACTGTGCTTATAGGCAAATTGTTTAGGGTCATTAAAGGATTTAAGCGAAGGTTCAAGACTAAGTAAAAGTAATTTCTCCATAGTTTTCAAAAAAGGAGACGTAATAGCAATGGGTAAGGTAAGTTTGCCCGCTATCACTGATGATATTCCTGATTGTGGTGGACTAGATTGTGAGAAAGACTGGGGAGCGACAAAACAGACATACTTTGGACCGACAAGAAGACTCTGGAAGATTTGGACTTCGGGGACGATTTATGTTTAATGTCATAAAAACTAGGAGATTTACAGGTATAGAACAACAAATTAGGAGATGAGGTAGGCAACGGAGACAGGACTTCAAGTGAAATTAGAGAAGACAGGGATGATGAAGATACATAACCGAAAACAACCACCACTAATCCCTACTCACATGACGAATTTCAAATTCACTTCTTTCACTTATCGGGACAGAATCGCCTCAGCTATAGGTGTATAGAACGAATATGTTAACCGCATGATTGTTAAAAGCAAGAAAGACACTGATTCTTTGGAAATGAGTCTGAAAATCTGTTTTACTAAGCATAAAAAGCGGGATTTAGATTTTACACACTAATGTGAAACCAGTCAGTGCTTCTACACGGTTCAAATACTTGGCTCACTAGTCACCTAAAGCACTTTTAACAGACTTGAGACTCTCATCAACAGCTGCTTTTGTGTCATACCGAGGATCGGATAGTCAGGGCAGAAAACTCTGGCGACGCATCAGACAAAAAAATATTGCCCAACAAATATGCAGAAGAAAATGGAGGTGAGTCGGACACACATTGACGAGACCATTGGGTGACATCAAGTGCCTGACCCTAGGGTGGAACCCGACTGGGAAATGGCGAGTTAGGTGTCCGAGAGTGACATTTAGGAGATCATGAGAAGGCGAAATGAGAGGCTATGTGGAATTATGAAGCCAGCTAAAGAGGGCTGAAGAGGAGATGGAGTTTTGAGATCCACTGTTACACTGGGAAACCAAGGGAATAATAATAGTAATTAATTGAAAGCTGTGCTGGTGATTAATTTTCCGCCAAAATACAAACAAAACTCGAATCGTCAATTTAAGCTCTTATCTTTTGTTTTCTCTTAGAAGTGCAATTTCTTTTTAAATATTACCCGTATTACACTCTTCAAGCCATTGTTATTATCAAAGTTAGGTGAACCGAGATAGCTTTTTTCTTTTTCTGACAGACTCTGGTTCAGAAACATCTACTTATCGATTCCATAAATAGTCAACTTATTTAACATTCTGGAGAATTCTGTCAACTTCATAAAGTATAGATAGAAAATTTGTTAAATGAGATAATCTGTCATCCTCATCTATTGTTATTTTACTCAAGTTTACCTTTTATTCATTTGCCGTAAAACTTAGAAAAAAAGTAGTTGACATACCTTCGTAAGATTCGTTCAGTGAAGATGGCTGACCAGATGCTTTGCGTTTTCGAGAAATTGTATAAGGAACTTTCGACGAGGTGTCAGTAACGCTTTCGATGTTCACTTTATTACTGTTTGATTCATTAGCGCACAAACAACTAACTCCGGACAAAAAAAGAGTTGTTAAGCAGAAATCACAAACACGAGAATCATCTGGCATTTCGTCGAACCTCACTTTCTTTGACTGAGTCACACCATTCTGAATAACAGACTCTCGCAATCGTCGTTCCTCCTTCAGTACAGCGGTAAATTCTTGATGTACAATAGCTATAGCACCAATGTCTAAACCTGAGGTAGAGCAGCCAGGAGGTAGTTTTTCCTGCTTATTTGAATTTTCATCAGAGGAAGGGAACTGATCAACAGGATTTGTTACTTTTAAAATTTCTGTTGGCAAAACATTCCCCACTGCTACTTCAGCAAGTGTACACAATAGTTCGTCGTTTGAAAACACACAGTGCCGTTTGATTTCAGCATAATGCTCAATACAAGCACGACCGATGGGGAGCTTAAGAAATATTTTAAAATAAAAATGAGTCCATAAGGTATTATAGAAACTAGTAAGTCTGTAAGAAATCAAACTATTTATAAGGGCATTTACTTTGAAGATTGATTCTAATACTTGTAAAATGACAAGGAAAAGAAAATAATCATATTGTATCCAGCTGAATAACTATGCCGATTATTTATCTGACCAAAGTTAACTTTTTGATCATATTTAATGGTATTTATATTTCTTTTTTATTTATATTTTTGATTACAGCTTGATTCCACACTGTATTTATGTTACAAGTATGGAATTTGCAGCATGGATATCGGTAGCCCAAATTTTGCAGGCCGACCATAGATATCAGGTGTGAGTCGGCAGGGGATCGAACCTAGGACCATGTGCATGGTCGGCGAGAGTCTTAACCACTGTGCCACCGATGTAAACCAAAACGGTAAATACGTAGACCGCAAAAATGCTTGAAGCGTACAAACTCCACTAAAAATTATGAGCCTGAATACGTTTACTTTTGTAATTTCATGTTTCGCATTTTGAAAACTAAGGCCTGACTATTATGAGGTCTATAACTTCCTTCATCCATACTACGATTGGTCAAGATGCATCACTCAAACCTCCAGCAGTATTTAAAAGGTCTGTCTGTCTGGATTCAACATAGAACTTGGCACCGAAGTGCACCAGTTCGAGTTGCCACGTTCCAAATAGCACACAAAGGTAGACAAGAAGATGAGTGAAGAGAATCAATAGAGTTTGACAAGTATTAAAGTGAAACAGAATGGGTAGTGGTAGAAAGGAATATGAAAGATTACAGAAACTGAATACATCTGCGCCATTGACAACGATTTTGAGCCATGTCACCTATTGTCTCCAGCCATTGATTCCTAGAGTCCCGAGGGCCCCAACCCGGAAGTCTGCATCTCCCTCCCTACCTGACTCAGTTTAACTGTAAAGGATTTCATGGATTGATGCCATGTTTTTGTTTGGCCACCACTTACTCTTTTCCAACCTACACCTATATCAGCTAGTAATGCCCGATGGTTAGGCATGCGCAGCACGTGACCTAGCCATCTCTCTCAATCTACGTAACTTTATAGCCTCGTCGATTGATTTTCCCTTCTTTGCCCAACACTCTACGCCTAACGTCAACATTACTTACCTTGTTAAACCACTTAACGTGAGACAGAGATCGCAGACATCTATGATCGAAAGCAGTCAACCTTTTCATGTCTTCAACGCGTATTGACCATGTTTCAGAGCCATAGAGAAGGACGGAGCGAACTGATGAGCAGTACACACGTCCCTTGGTTGATAGCCGGATGTCACGTCTACGCCAGAGATGGCGTAAGTCAGCGAAAGCAGCTCGAGCTTTTTGGATCCGTGCTCAGATTTCGTCGCCAATCAGTTATTCAAAAGGTGAGGCTGTTAAACACCTGGATTGCTACTAACTCCAACACATCTTTAAAACCACTTAAAGTTTTTTTGCATGATGAATTTATATTAATTTGTAATATCAGTGGGCTATACGAAAAGAATATTTATCACAGGTGACATCTAATATTTAAATTAATTACAATAACCCACATTTCTCTGCTTATTTTTAGTTATTTCTTAATACTTTTGTTTTGTTATTCGTGAATTAAATAACGTGTTAACGCTATTGTGTTAGGTACTTTGTGTCCCCCCGCCACCGGTTTGTTTAGTAAAATTAGGTTAAATTGGAGTACTGCCGCTTAAAACTGTGCATTTGTACTCATAATTTTATGACAGATTGTTGCTAGAATATTTAGAGTACCATTAGGAACCAAGAAATAACATGGTGATGTTAATAGCGGAGGAGTCTTTTCTACAATAAACTCACCCAATCAGGAAGACAAATATTAACAGCTTCTGCGAAATTGAAACCCTGATTGAATCCAGCATGGTAAGCCCTTGGGAATGTGACGACAAATTCGCCACAGTGTTGATCAGTTCGATAAATAGGTACACCTTCTGCTTGCAAAATATTAGGATTAATATTTGTTGTGATGTGATGTAACAAGTCTGGTGCTTGTTCAAAAAGTTCTGGGGCATTTTTTTTCATTGCACGTTCAAATTCATCGGCATGCAAACGTGATACACCATACCATGTTTTAGGCTCTCCCCTGTTTTGAATCAAGTAGAGAGGATTTACTTTTAAAATCTAAAGTATCGACCGTAGGTTACATAATTAAAGTTAATAAATCCCTGTGTAAACAGTAAGCAGATAATTGATCGTCTCTAAAAACCAATTGAAATAAATATCTCAAATATGCTAAACACACGTAATACTCCTTAACTGAAAGGCTTGCCTGCCTAGCTTACGAAAGTGCATTAAAAACACCACTAGAAAAATCGCACAAATATCTGCTTTCGAATTTTGGATAATGACTGTTATAGGTGCAGTTCGACAGCATTCTTATAAACAACCGAAATAATGAAGTCAAAAAGTAAGGCAAGATAAATAAACAGAAGTTGGTTGTATTAAGTAGATATCACATCTTGCTTCTTGCTGACTGTTTCAGATCAACTTAGTGCCTTTGAGATATCAGATTTCATTTTTTGACACAGACCACTTTAAATAACGGTACACAGTTATCTAGCAAGTATATGAAGTAAAAGCCTCGTGTATATTCATAAATAAATTTTGTGATGGATCATCCGGATAACTTAGCGACTAGGTCTTCTATTTCTATGGTCAACGGCAATGGTCGAATTCGTGAAGAAACATAAGTTTCTTGACAGTTTGACTTAGATTTTGATGTCATATATAATAAATACTTGTCAACCCACTAAACAATGTTGGTCTCTACTGTCAGTCACACGGAAAACTACGTGTTAAGGTTAGAAATAAAACGAGTCAACTTCAGCTTGGATGATAAAAACTATCTTCTGATTAGCAGAGAATACTATAGCTCACTGGAGTAAAAGTACGTAATGATAACGCATTGAGAGTAAGACGAAACGCATGTTCCGGTCCCCACTGTTAGTCACAAGTTGGCTTTTACACAGGACCTGTTTTCACTTAAAATCTTCCATCCAGGCTCAGGTGTACCTGAGGTTTTACCCAGAGTCTTTCTTTTTCCACCCAAACGTGCTGGAAAGTAAGACATCTTGAACCGAGACACTTTTAGACTGGATTTTATACTAATCTGTATGTCTACTATGCTTTAAAGTAAACACCACAAATCCTATTTCAAAGAGTAAAACTAAAAATTTAGCTGAAGAACAATTGAATGATGCTGTAGGACTAAACTGCACCGACTCCCTTCCAACTTAATGATGGTGATTGAATCAGTAGAGCGTGTCGACCACTTCACTTACTTGTGAGGTGTGACGAACTGAACTGCTGTGCTAGTTCCATGTTAAAACTCAGTCTGGTGTTTTAGAAAAAACCAACAAAAATCTCAGTTTAATTGGTAGTTTGGTAAGAACGAACATTATAAAAAGAAAAACCATACAACATAATTTGATGCAAAAAGATAATTAATCTACAACAAACCAGTGATTAAAGTTGATAGAGTAACTCCAGTGATCCTCGATATGCCAACAAAAGCTAGAGAAAACCATACCAACGTAACACCATGGAATTTTCATACCATCTATGTTCCCTTTGATAAATCTCAGGACGGACCTATTGATAATCAAGAAAAACATATATTTATGCACAGCTGACCAATAAAAAATAGAAATCACACTTAAACATGTGAACAGTCAACATGAGCTTACGTGACGAATATAATGTGTAGAGTTTTGCAGTCCAACTGAAAGCAATGTGCAATAAAGTTTGCAGGACGTATTAACTGATACTTAATCACGCTAATAGATCATGGATCCCATTTCTTCAATATTTTCGACCGGATATGGAACTATATTTTGAAAAATTCAGAAACTGCTTTTACTTCTATCACACCTTGCATTCTGATCCACAAATTGCCTTCGTTAGAAATTGAAGACAATTTCAAAATCGTTGATAAATAATACGTAGTAGATAACTTGTCCAACCAACACTGAAACTGTCACACTGAAACATCATGAGTGTTTGTAGTTATGGTAGAATTAGATTTACGATGCTCGGTAAATGCCAGCTTAGAAAGCACATTTTCATGTATTATGTATCACCCCAATAATCGTAATTTATCACAAACAAATTTAATTTACATCAACAGATTAGAGATTTAGGTTAATACATTTTTTTTGTAAAGCATCCGTATTTTGAGGCGTCGCTAGCATAGCGGTTAGGACGCTCGTCGACCATGCACATGGTCCGGGGTTCAATCCCCGGTCACTGACGCGCTCCTTTACCTCGCTAAGCCAGAAATAATTCTGGTGAAGAGGAAAGGTTGGGCATGAGGCTAGCAACCCCATCATGTAAAATTGAACACTGCTACAGAAACTTTAAGCCACTAGCTTGAGGCCCTATGTTTCATTGGGAACGTGTAGGATAAAAAAACAAAAGAAACAAAATAAATCCATGTTTTGATAGAAGTGGCCTTCACACCCTGATATGACAGTCGTAAAACACTTAGAAAGAGTAACAAATGCACAAAAGGGTGAAGACATGAGTGTCTCAGAAGTCAAATGATTATAACATAGAATAATGACAGTTAAGTCAAAAATCCACTCCGACTATGTACACATTATTGATGCTAGAGACAAATAATGCAGCACAGTTGAATCATTCCAATGAAAGCTATTTAGTACATTTAATGGAAATAAATGTATGTTATGAAACAAATAAATTAGCTGAATATTGAATTACGCATATACAATGACTACATACCTGTTATTCGTGTAACAAAATATAAACTTCCTAGAATGCAACTGGCAGTAAGTCGAAAAACACTCAAAGTTCATCAATGTCGAATTAGATTTACCTGTTGGCACAGAATTACCTAAAATGACCACTTTTTATTCCATTTATTTTGTAAAACTTTTAGTTTCTGAGGTTCACAACAAATACAGTAGTTTTAGAAGTATCTTTAGGTAAAGCCGACTCAGAGTAAGGGATTAAGGGGAATTTACACCTACTAGCTTGACTGTAGAAACCGGAAATGGAGCATTATAAGACGTGTGACCACTTTCGCCATCTTCCCTTACTAGCTTTTTTTTCTTTGCTTACTTCACTACGATTTCTGACAGTATGAGTTTTATTTCTGTCTTTATTGTTTATCATCAATATGCAGTCACACACTAATTTGATTAATCGGGAAATAGGCATACTTATATGTCTAAAATTCAGTTTACAAAAACTTGATGAAGTATGCGTATGTGTATTAGAAGTTTTGGAAAACAAAAAAACTAAAATTACTCAACTTACTTATCTAACAATGGTAAGATGTTTAGGTTCCATGGACTTTCAGCATACTTCTTTGCCTCTGCAAGTTGAGATGCGGTACCCACTAGATTCTTAAGCATTGCTTTAGTTGGGAATCCTGAACCTTGGGAACTAGAATGTATGTCAGCTCCATATTCAACAATAACGTCATCATTGTATTCTTGCAGAATACGCCAGAACTCTTGTTCTACTTCTGCACATGGTACTTCCTGTTTGAAAAACAATATCAACCTCGAAACTACAAATCCATAAAAGACAAAATTGGAACTTTTGCAAAAAAAACATTAAAAACTCGTGGACACACTTCAATGATAGTTATTGAAGTGAAAATAACTAATGAAACGAACAATAACAAAGGACAGGGAAAAGTGTGTTCACAAAAAGACGATGTGTAACCGTTATAGTAATTGATTAGTACTGAGGTTAGATTTTGAATATGACTGACGAACAAAGTTGCAGGTTTGAATCTTGCTTCATCGGTAGACAGTAATTTATTCCTCAAACGTAGTAAATGTAGGTAGTGACACTCATAATAAAATCAAAGCGATGTGGATAGCTTGTTATTTTTCAGCTACAAGAGCTAGTAGCTATCACCGTTAACACGACATCTACTGAGAATGTCCAGGCCTACAGTTCTTTCGCAACAGGATTCAGCAAAAAGACAGGTTTGTACATATGAAGGCAATCCCTTGGTCGGCATCAAAGTCGAAAAGGAAGAAACAAGGAGACAGAAATTATACAGAGGTAATAATCCAGTTGGATGGTGTGGAATCTCAACTGACTGCTTCTTAGTGCTAGAATCAGAAACTACATTTTCTATCTAGTGATGTTGCATAAACTAAGGGATGGCTGATGAGCCGAATTTTGACAGGTGCCTGTGCGTGATTGAGACCATTCAGTAACGAAAACTGAAAATTGCATCTTACTGATGAGCAAGGTCGGATTATTAAGGATGACTTTATTAACTTGACAGGATAAGCAAAACTCAACGGATAGTTTATTTTAGGTACCTTAGCAAAGCTTCCTGTGAGGATTTGATATGAATAAAGTGGTGGTGAATCCACCAATGACAAGACTTCATTAGACGGAGATATTACCATATTTAGTTCTAACGTGTCTATATCTCTTTCAACAGTATATATCATACGGAAATGCTTATTGTATTAAGAATCACTTCTGAAATGTTACTGATCTTAGGGCCTGAAAAAAGAGGTTGATTGTGGGGATAACTACCCCACCCCGTAGAAACATTTTCACCACCATCCAAACTTATTTCCCGCAGAAACTGGGATGACTCCTTAATTCGGCGACGGTGATGTCAACGGATGAAAGTTTTCGGGAAGTCAGTAGACTGGTGTCCGCTTTCGATGAAAACAAAAGAAAGTGTGGGAGCAGGGAATGTCTGCATCATGTTTGAAGCTGAGATGGCTGCCCAGAATGCTGAAAAATGAAAATATTAAGTACAGAAGCATTAGGATTCGGTCAGAATAGATGGAATCGAATTGAACTTTTCAGATTGTTAATTGGAGTCAATGGAACACTCTGACCATTCAGACAACAACGAAAACACTGGGAAAGTGGCTATCATAATGGCACTAACAGCATCAAAGACTCTCATGTAGCGGGAACCAAACGCCTCCAGAATCACACACAAAGACCCAACTCAATAGTAACAACTGTGCAATCCTATAAACAAAGCAACCTCGCCTAATAAACTAACTTGTTAGTTTTCTAGTCGATCCAAAGCCTGGGTAGAGAGGGAGAGTTGGGCGTGGAGCTAGCAACCCTAAACCTTAAAAGCTAACAAACTGCTAGAGAAACTTCAACGCACAAAAAATACAAAAACTTCAAATAAAAATCCTATCCTTCGCTCGAATCAGAGAGGCGAAATGGCGCTTCGGGCTGGTGAAAGCCTTCAGGAAGTTAGTCAACCGATATGGCTTCTATCGATGAAAGCAAGAATAAGAGTGGGGACGTGGAATATACGTAAAATGTACAAAGCCAGTTAGAGAGGCAGCCCAGGTAGCCAAAGAAATGCGAAGGTATGGTATAGAAGGAGTGGGTATCCGCAAGAGCGGATGGAACGGATGTGGAGTGTCAAAATTGTTAACTGGAGTGTCAGTAATCTACTCCGGTCTGGTCACCATAGGATAACCACGAGAACACTGAGGCAGTGAGTGGCTTTCATGATGTCACCAGTGGCAGCCAAAGCCCTAATGCAGTGGGGACCGACCTCTTCCAGGACTGTGATGGGAAAATTCAACTCATAATGAGGGGAGGAAGGTTACAATTATCCAAAGCTAAGCAGTTCTACAAACAACGCGGAACCAGTGGAGAAGAAGGAAGATTTTTACAGACAACTACAAACAGTAATGGACAACATCCCAAATGGTGACATCAAAATCCTAAAGGGCGATATGAATACCAGCCGAACTGGGAGCTGATAATACAGGAAGAGGACTCGTCATAGGTCCAGAGGCTCTAGCTCAGCGAAATGAATGCGAACGGAGAATTACTCACAGACTTCTGAGATTTCAATGATTTGCTCATTGGAGGCAGCGTGCACAAGCACAAGGATATACACAGAGCAACATGGATTTCGCTTGACGGACACACCACAAACCAGATAGATTTTATCTCAATGCTGCTCCAGGAAGTGGAGATGCAGCCAGTCTGCTGGACACAAAGTCAAGAAAAGGAGTAGATTTGGGCTCACACCATCATTAGTTCAAGGGAACTTACCTCCATGAAAACAAATGGAGACAGGCCACAATTCAAGTTCAACATTCAGCAACTGAAGGATAAAACTACAAGGGATACCTTTATTACAGATCAGATAAGAGCAAAGTCAGAGACTACGAGGCCTCACTAAGGAAACCCGCGTGGAAGAACATTGGAACTCTGTGAAGTAGATGTTCAAGGAAACGTGTATAACTCTTTTAGGAAGATAGAAGAGGAGAGACAAGACAAGGAATGGAGCTTAACTCACACCTACCTGGAAGTTAATAGAAGCGAAGAGAGGAGAATGGTGAAAGAGATGACTCAATGCAAAGATAAGCAACAGAGGGAGAAGCTGAGTTCAAATGAAACCTATAAAAGTGTTCAAGGGAACCTGTTTATCAAGGAGGAGAAACAAAAAAACAACGGGCAGATCTCTTCACACGACTCTTGAATCGACCACCAACTCGCCCAGAAATACCACCAACAGCACACAGGGAATTGCCAGTGAACACCAATCCTCCAACGAAAGCAGGAATCCTAAATGCGACCAAGCTATAACAAGACATTCGGAAAAGCAGCAAGCTCAGCTGGAATTCTTTTCAAAGCACTGAAGACGGACCCAGAGGCTGTCGCAGATGTTGTCATGCCGTCATTACAAAAAGTTTGGAAAGGAGAGGTACCTACTGATTGGAATAAAGGCTACCTCTTCAAGCTGCCAAAGAAGAGCGACTTAGGCCTCTGTAATAACTGGCGTGGAATGATGCTCTTGTACACGCCAGGTAAAATACTAAGTCACATTATCCTGGAGAGAATAAAGGATGCACTGGATTCAGATCTCCGCCCACTGGAACAAGCCGGATTCAGGAGAGGCAAACCATGTGAAGATCAAATTGCAACTCTACGCATCGTCATCATAAAACAAAGCATTGGATGGTAGTCAACACTCTGTCTATCTTAACTTCATCGACTTCAAAAAGGCCTTCGCCAGACAGTGTTGACTGAGAAGTGATTTGGAGACTAATTCAACCAGTCTTTACCAACCTCATTCAACAGCTAGCTATATGATAGTGCTAAGTGTCAAGTGATCCACAACGGAAACCACAACTATGTGTTCGAAGTGAACACAGGAGTAAGACAAACTGGCTGCCCACTGCTATCACCAATGATATTCTTAATTGTGATGGACTGGATTTTGCGCAGACTGTGCATTGGGAGTGATTAATCAAGAGTACGTTGAGCGACCGATACGAAGACTCCACAAGATCTGGATTTTGCTTGTGGATGATTTATGTATAGTGTCACACAAACTCGAAGACTTACAGGCGAAAAGCACCAAACTGGCTGAAGAAGCTGGCAGTGAAGGCAGGACTCGAAGTGAACATAGAGAAGACGGAGGTGATGAAGAAAACCGACCAACCAACAGCAACATCAAACAACACTCAGTTGAAGACAATGGCAGAAGATAAGACAAAGTGGAGATGTGTCATTGAAGCCCTGTGTTCCACTCAGACCTCAAGGGAATAATAATAATAATAATTAAAACAAAGTAGATCAATAGGACTTCTAAAGATGACTGCAAACAGTAACGGACGAAACCCCAGACAGATAATGACATAAAATTCTAATGTGTGATGTGAGTGAGAAACTTGGAGCAGTTTACATAGGAGGGAGAGCTAATCATAAGTCAGAAAGCAGTCGGATAAATGTACCAGGAAGGAGTACTATCTGCATACTCCTACGCCTTCGATGATTTGGTCATGGAAGGCAGTGTGTACAAGCCCAAGGATTAGCAGAGATAGGGGTTTGTCCAGATAGACACACCAACACCACACAGACTTCATCTCAATCTCAGAAAGTGAGAAAGCAGACTACTGGACACAAAATCGAGAAACGTTGCAAACGTAGGTTGAGATTACCATCTAGTGCGACAAACCAACGCCAAATCGAAAGCCTTCAATCAAATACGCACACAGACCAAAATTCAAATACAACACTCACAAACTGAAGCTACAAAGTACATTACTACAGTCATCCGAAAAAGGTAGGAGGCATTAAGCAACATCCATAAGGAAACCCGGGTGAAACAACACTGGAACTCTTTGAAAGTATTGTAGAAAGAAACACGTACAGATATATTAGTTTGGGTATGAAGGAGAAACAAGACAAGGAATGGCTCTCCACAAACACTCGAAAGCTGATGGAGGGGAGAAGCACAGCAAAGCAAAGTATGAAAAGTCCAGAGATGAACAATGAAAGGAGTAACTGAGCGGAACCCGACCGATAGCCGCTACCTTAACGTGGTGTTTGGGCTTGCATATTGCAATGATTCGAAAACACTAACTACAACTAATGTTCCTGCATGCCAGGAAGGTTGTTAGGATAGCGATTAGACTAAAAGCAGTTACCGATAGTGTAAGTTTTTTTACACAGTGCTGGTGGTCTGGGCAAAATCATACTGCTGAACATCTGAACGGGTCTGCTATAAGGTGTTACCTGTCATTGTCTTTTCATAATCTCTGGCCCAACCGACTGCAGTTCGGATGATTTCTACCAGAAACTGTCTAGTTTGCTGCAAAAAGAAAAACCCTCAGATATAGTTGTTTTAGCAGGCGACTTCAATACCCAAGTGGGGAAGTTATGCTAGACTGAGAAGTACATAGACGGCGCCTACGGAGTTGTAATATTTCTTGACCTGAAAGAGGCATTCGATTCCGTCAACCGAGGGATACTATGGCGACGTTTGGCTGTGAATGCAACCTATCACTCTATGATGATGACAGTTGTTATTGGTAATAAGCAAAATCTTGCCCAAAAGTCCGAATTAATTCAGTGCTTATGGATCTTCCAACTTTCAACAAAATAAGGCATAAGATATTCAGCTACAAATCTACAGGTATGGATGATTTCATAGTACAGCTGATATATGGGGGAAATCATAGCCAATGCTATACTAGATCTGAACTTTTGGAGGAACCAATCGGAAGTTTGTGATGAAACTAGCCACTTATTTTGGATACTGAACTACAAACTTACAAGGACTAGGTCTCTGAAATGGACCTTTCAGGTAAAGATATCAGTCACAGACATCCCAGAGCAGGGGTTAATGACGTATCCTGATTGAGTAGTAGTCCTATTTGTTATGTTGTCTGCTTAGAACTTAACAGACACCAGTGGTTTGACATTCAGAAAGTTTACTAGATCGCCTACATAAATAAAGCAATTAGCTGTCTTAGGATTTAAATACGATAACACCATCGAAGTAATCAATGTTAAACTTACGGTGCATGGCCGTTTGAAATAAGCAGACTTGAATTCATCTGCCATAACACCAAACTCTTGGAGAGAGTATGTCTTGCTGGACTGAGGGAATCCATACACATCCATAGGGCCGCAGCAAACATTTCTAACACATTCAGGACATTTCCATTGGCATTTTGGGATAGAGCGAAGAGGTGGGTTTAAACAGTATAGATGATAGCAAGCTTGGCAGGTATCCGTGTCACAAATGAGTAGATTTGTTTCATCATCACCGCGACCACAAACGCGACAATTATACTCATCGATCTGCAAATACAAGTTGTTAGAACTATGAAAACCTACGTTGATGTCAGATACTAAACCTAGAGAAAAAAGAATGATAAGCTCAGTATTTATTAGAACATACTTTTCTGCAGCTCCTCAACGGGCACAGCAGCTTTTGGGCCTGGGCCGAAAAACTGTAAGTTTTTCAGTTCCTTGCTGGCTGAATAGTTGATCTTGTTCTCCTACAAAATATAATTTATGACTTAAACTCACATCTGATGTATATCTGTAGCGTTTGTAACTGCTCGCACGGCTTATAGGACGGTGAATACCCTACATATATAAAAAGACTTAAAAGTAGAGTTACCTTAGCTGGTTGGGTTTGGTTAGAAATAGTTTGGTCAAATGACAAAAGCAACTTCTCATAATTATTTCTTATGGACTGAGCGTGGCGAGTCTGATATCCAAGTTTCTCTGCAATAGTAGGCCAGGAGTGATTGTCACATGCTTGACGATATCCACCTGCCTCTGCCACTTGTTTATGAAGGGCGTATAAGTCCAGATAACGTCCGGCAATACTGGGGACTCGAATTTTCTCTTCACCCTGTAAGCTAAGCGTCGTTATAAACAGCACGTACTTGTAATTTAACAAATTTGTACAATCGACTAAGGAAATTCAACTTGATTCGAGAATGAGCCTAATATGTAAGTATTTTTAAGTTACACATTACCTCTAGTTCATACAACCTCTGGATTCGAGGTGTGAATGAAAATTCAGCCATATTTACAGCAAAAGGTGGATTCCAGCACTGAAAAGAGAAGGAATGAAATGAGTGAGAGACGTAAATTATAAAGACGAGGAACTAGAAAACAGACATAATTTATACCCTTACAGTGAAAATAACTAAACCCAGAAATATTGTTAAGAGTAAATTTTTAAGAAGTTACATATGAACAAATGAAATTAAGGTCAAACTTACTTTTGGAGGGACAATTTTGCATATGCCTGTTTTGATACATATTGGTCGTATTTTCATTAAATAAGCGAGAGGATCTTTAAATTCTTCAGATGTGGGGTAAAACACAGGAGCCTCAGGTGGTGGGACAAAGGTGAAAGCACTTGGCATTTTTCAACCCTAAACAAAAAGAATATTCACCGATCAGATGTTTAGCAATAAAACTGTGTATTAAAGAATTCAACTATCAAGTTTAAGAATTCCACTAAACACTGGTAAGAATTGCAAATCATGAACAACCGTGCAGAATGCAGCCATATAAGCAATGGCGGGGTTATGAATAATTTGGCGGTAGTATGAAGTTAAAGGAGAGTATTAAGACATATGATGAGGTCAATATCCTACTTAAATGATGGGATATTTCAGCTTGTAATATCAAGAGTCCTCAAGTATAATATAGTTGCTACGTAGCTTCATCACCAGTAAATCATTTAAAACGAATACCTATTAAAAAACTCAGCACGGTTTATCACTGTGAATTTCGGATTTTTCAATTTCACAATCATCTCAAACAGCAACAACTTATGAAAAGTGATACGCGAGAAACTATCACGACTGCTAAAATTTGTCAAGAATCTAGAATAATGAGGTCCAAGGATAAGCATTACTAACCTCGGGGTGCAAAGTAGGATAAAGTTGATGCGGGCTACCGTACTGGTAGTCCTGGTTGGTTTAATATCAGGAAGCGTGCAATTCAAATCAAACGTTTTATGATATCTCACGCTCTACGAATCATCCAGTTAATTTTTTCACGTTATTACACTATAAATGTAGCGTGAATTATGCGGTAGACACTTCTGGCATGGACGAATTGCAGGCCTTCAACAGCAGTCAAAATCAAGTGACCCCAGATCAACGCAACTGTAGCGCAATCACTGCATATCGAAATTTTCTTTAATTCTGTATTCCAAGATTTTATTTAATGAAATACTATTAAAGTATTTGTCACGATAGATATAAAGGAACTAGTTAAATACCGGGATAGTGCTCATTAAAACTAACCATTTTTCAAAGGAGCTACATACAAATGGTTAATGTGAGTTCCGCGTCTGGTTGCTATGATGTTTTTTTGTTTATTTTCAAGACAAACATGACCAAAAGTCACTGAACATCTTCTTTTCTACACGTTTTTAGTTAAGTACTACTGTTCAAGAGGCCGCAGCGCGTGAGATAACGCGTATCGAGCGTATTGGTGCACACTCACATATACGCGGTTTGGGCTTGAATGATGATTTGGAAGCTAGACAGATTTCACAAGGAATGGTTGGGCAATGTAAAGCCAGAAGAGCTGCCGGTCTTATTTTGGGTATGATACGTGAAGGGAAAATTGCTGGACGTGCAATACTTCTAGCTGGTCCCCCTGGCACGGGAAAAACAGCAATTGCTATGGGTATGGCCCAGGCACTTGGGCATGATACACCCTTCACTGCAATGGCTGGTAGTGAGATATTCTCGCTCGAAATGAGCAAGACAGAAGCTCTGACACAAGCTTTTCGAAAGTCTATTGGTGTACGTATCAAGTAAGTCCTTTGATCTGATAGCTCAATTTCTCAGAGAAGAAGCAGAAATAATTGAGGGTGAAGTTGTTGAAATACTAATAGATCGCCCTGCAACTGGGACAGGCGCTAAAGTCGGAAAACTAACACTTAAGACAACTGAAATGGAAACAGTATACGACTTAGGTCAGAAAATGATCGAGTCTCTAACAAAGGAAAAAGTTCATGCAGGGTAAGCATTTCCGTTCTGTCTTATATATCTTATTAGTGATGTAATCACCATCGACAAACCTTCTGGAAAAGTTACAAAACTAGGCCTGTCGTTCACCAGAGCTCGAGATTTTGATGCCACAGGTGGTCAGACAAAGTTTGTTCAGTGTCCTGAGGGAGAGTTACAAAAACGAAAAGAAGTTGTTCACACAGTAACTTTACATGAAATCGACGTAATCAACAGCAGAACACAAGGTTTTCTAGCATTATTCAGTGGAGATACTGGAGAAATCAAGTCAGAAGTCAGAGATCAAATAAATCACAAAGTAGCTGAATGGCGTGAAGAGGGGAAGGCTGAAATTGTTCCTGGGGTAAGTTTTCTACTACTCATTAAGTTTTATTATTTGGTGACAGGCAACAATTAGCTCCTTGTTTTAAGTATAAATTTTTTCAGAAGCGCATATTAAAATGGACTTTCGTTAGCCAGTAGTTTTTTCTTTAATTTTACTGTAATCGACTTGGGCATGTTCTGATTCATCTTGTTTTCCATTTCAAAGTAGTATATTCGACACTTATGTTAGTTTTTCAAAGTAACTTTTGGACTCTATATATTTACATAGCAAATTTAATGTTAGTGTGGAACGAATTGTAGTTATTATAGTGACTTTCAGGGCGCAGTATAAGGAAAATGGACGGTTAACCCCTGGCAATCACTAAAGTGATTTCCTTAACTTCCTAAAGTAATATATATTCATAAAACTCATTTGACTGTTGATTTAATATATGTGATATTCCTTTCTCTTCCTAAAGGTTCTGTTTATTGACGAAGTACATATGTTGGATATAGAATGCTTTTCTTTCCTCAATCGGGCTCTAGAATCTGACATGGCTCCTGTCCTTATTGTTGCTACAAATCGAGGTATCACCAGGTAATTCACTAATTTATTTTGTGTGTGACAAATCCTCAACTAGTATCTTCTACTCAAGTTAAAATAATTGATGTATTTCTTAAGGTCTGACGTCGCTCACTTTCATTCATCTCAAAACAGTATTAGCTCATTGAATACATGATTGAAAACTGGGTGAAAGCTGACCCTAATTTTAGCGGCTTAGATCCGGGTGGTAAACAAAGATTTATTGGGATCCGAGTCCATCAGCAATCCAGTCAGCTTAATTAAGCTCGGAAAGTGTTATTGTAAACAGTCACTGTTGGTAAATTTCAAAGATGTAGATCGAAATCCGCACTTATGGTTTGGTACTTTTATTGCTTTTAGTTTACTTCTATTTATTTTTTTATTTTTGATTTTCGAGTATGTTATCAAAAGCGACGAGTGTCCAAGTTAGATTGAAAATCCATAACTTCAGAGGTAACATTATTTTTCTAGCATAAGTGTGTGTATAGACTTAGGTTACCTTTGGTGATTTCTTAACCTTTGTTTGCCTGTTGAAAGTGCGTTGGACAGCGTTTTGGTGCTAGACATCGCTATGTTAATTGTGATATCTGATTCTTGAGGTTTTCGAGGATTCTAGTCAATCATAGTGCTTGTTTTTCTACTGATCACATATGATGATTGGAAATTCAGCATGTGGTTGCAACTTTTGAAGTATCTGTTCGCTGATGGTGTAATGGGATTCGTAATAAGGAATAACTAAGTTAACGTTTACTCGTACAATAAATACTTCTGGTCTTTGTTTTCCTGCTTGGTCTTACTTCAAGGGGAGAAGATATTGCGAATGAAAGCAAACTTCATGAAAAATTAGTTTTGTTTTCGTTTAGCTGTTCACTTCAGGGTGAACAACGTGATGAATTACAATGAAATTAGGAGTATTGTTGAGTAAGAAGAATATGTAAGTCGATAAGCTCGTTAAGCTTTATCTACAGAAATAGTTAGTATACTTGCTAAGCTTGTTGTGTCGTCCTCTAACTAGACAAGGTTAAGTGAAGTTTGATTAGGTTGTAAATTAGACGAGAAAATGTCAACGTGTTTAATGTAGGCTAATGGAAATAAGTTATTTAAAAGATGTAGTAGATGACACAGTAGCGTAGATTTTTTTCTTGTTATCTTTCGAGATTTTGGAAAGCTTCATTAGTCTATGATTGTTCTGTTCTCCACAACTAAGACTCAGTATTACTGTCGTCACATTTCATCCCTTGTTTCCTTTTTAAAGTCAAAGTTAAAGTGATTCAACTGTCAATCACGGCTTCCAAAACCAGACATTAACCAAGATCACGCAGCTTCTGTTTACAGCAAGCAGAACAAGACTGTTGTATTTGCGCTAGAGCTCATAAACTAGTGTCTTGTCGATTCGGATACATGTTTACTGGATCCAAAGTTGAACTTACGACTTTTTACCATTTATCCTCCTTCTTATTATACTTAAAATTGAGCTAATACACGAGTTCACGTGCTCTTGCGTCGTAATCGGCTCAGCTGTGATCGAATCTTGAGACATTGATTGTCAACTTGTCTTTCTATAACAGGTACTTGCATCCCCTTCATATTTTTAAGTACTTATGTTTGCTTTTTTACAACTCAAGATTCTTCATATTAACACTAGTTGCTTAGGTGATGAGTCATGGCTTACTTATATTGGTTACCTTTTTTGACTTTATGCAGAATTCGCGGAACAAATTATCAAAGTCCGCATGGAATACCTATTGATTTGCTGGATCGATTGCTCATCATTTCGACCGATCCATACACAGACAAAGAAATCCAAGCGATTCTAAAGATTCGATGTGAAGAAGAAGACGTTGATATATCAGAAGACGCACTGCTTGTGCTCACTCGAATCGGCATGCAGACATCTTTGCGTTATGCGATTCAGCTTATAACTACTGCGAATTTAGTTTGCCGCAAGCGAAAGGTTAGTTAATTTTGTTAACTAAGTAATCAAAAGATGTATAGAAGTTGTTCATTAATACTAGTATACTGTAGAGAAGGTAATTTTTATAAATAGTATTGCTGGATGAAGCATTATAGTGATCTGCATAGGATTCAGTTATACTATTTCAGTTATGATCTCTTGTCATCATATTTTTTTAGTATTTTCAGTAGTCGTTATAAGCACAGTGCTTTCTTACAGGTTATACTGACAGCAACTGATATTGAAAATGCAAGTTCTATTATTGAATAATAATATGTGACTAATAACTAAGGCAGATTTGGAATTTTCCAAGTATCACTTTTTAGTATTATTAGTACCCAAATTATACTTTTTTAAATCTCAGGGTTTGGAAGTGAGCAAAGAAGATATAAGAAAAGTGTACTCTTTGTTCATGGATGAAGCGCGTTCTACCTTGTTCCTCAAAGAATACCAACAAGAATTCATGTTTAACGAAATAGCTGAAACAATGCCGTCAAATTCAGGTTAGTTCTTCAATTTCATTTTACTTTGCTACTTTCGATACTTAAATTATTCAAATATTATCTATGGAAGCAATGAAAATACAAAATTCACCATTTTGGATTAAACCAGCAACATAACTATAGAAAAATAAGCAGTCGCAGAAGAATGACTTGGCATTCTTTTTATTTCTTACGTTGTTATCTAGATCCAAAAACATTTGGTTGAACAGTTGTTTCAGTTACTTATTCGTTAGCCTTTGCAGTTATAATAACCAGTGAAGAGAAATCCAAGTTATTACGAAGTCTGATAAGGTTGTATTAACAAATAAAATAGTAGATAGACATCAGGGAAGTGCAGCATAGCTACCTCTGAATTGTTAATTAATGTCTACACAGGCCACAATGTCAGAAGTTTCCTTCGACTCCATCGCTAAACTATATTGTCGGTCTTCATGCCCTACAGCTAAGTTTAGTAGCTTATTGATTAATCGTGTTACATAAATGGTTTGACTATTTATACACGCAAATAAATGTTCAGTAGGAGGGCTGAAGAAATTTTCTTTTTAATCTCTCATCTAATGAACAGCAGCTATTCATGTAGGGAGGTAATTTGAAATTAATACCAATATACATCGTTTAATATAGAAAGAAAATTTAGTCATCTTGGCAGGGAAGACTGGTATGAAATAATACATCATTTATTGAGAAATACATGCTTAATCCGACTTGTGGAAATCTAGAAAACTGAGGGAAATGGCTTACGTAATGTCTATCTTAGTCCCTAGAACCTGTTCTGGAATAACTATCATAGTAACAGCACCAAAAAGCATGTGTCTACGCCTTAGGATGTAAGCTGTGGTAGTAAAACTATAGCTTTCTTTAGGCTATCTTATCACCTAGTTTTTTCAGTCATAACATGCTGGAAATCTACACAAGTCATTTACGTGTTAACTTTTCAGAGCTGCTAATTTGCAACTAACCAACCTAGGTTGAGAGATCCTTTCTGAATACCGATATAAAAATAAAACTCAAAAGACTCATTTTTCTAACTTCAGATTAGAGTCTGTCCAGCTATGCTGCTGCTGTTTGAATACATTTTTCTAAATCGAACATGTCATGCGATTAAAGTTACTTTTGTTTGGGTTTTTCATTCACAGGTGACAAACCAAATGCCTAGTAACTTCTTGGATTATCGCATTCTTGGATATATTTGTGTGAATAGATTTGACTTTTTATGCTATTTTTACCACTGTCCATTTGTTTGGGTTTTCACTTGAAATAAATTAGTTGCATTCGATACGTTGTATTATTACCATTTGCGAAAAAACTCCAAAATTATGTGTACCGTATCTGTGTTTGCGTAACTGGCTAACTATTGAGATTATTCAAAACACTAAGAGTCTTTCGATATGCGAATAAATTAACTGTGGTCACCTTTTCGGTGTTAAGTAACCAGTCTACGGCGCTACTTTTAATAAGTTAACAGCCATTGTATTATGTAATGCTTTTGCTAAAAGACACTTGTAATCTAGTTGCAACAAAGCATTTCTGAGTGCTTGCAGTTTGGTTTCGAGCTATCTAGTATTACTCATGTTCACTGCATGGCGTTTTGAGCACTACTGTCTACAGCTGTTTGTGGAATATCTAGTGGATAATCTAAAAAGTTGTACCATATCAGATAAATTAGTACGAAATTACTACGTCACAGACATTAGAAAATTCTGCTTAACAAAAGAATGCCTTACTAGATGCAACCGACAGTGTTTTCTGTATGTAATATAAATACTTAGTTGGTCGATGTATGCACTATTTCGTATTGATTGCTATCAGTGCTTTCAAATTACCGTATGATTTCTAAGTCCTAATGCTTCGATTGCGGGCGACATCTAAGAAGTCACTTTCTGCGTCACAGTTCTCACACAACGGTCTTTCTGGATACTCGCGATTTCGTCTTATTGTTTGTGAAGTTGTGACTCAAACAGTGTAGACTTTTACCCTACACTCTTCTTGTTTATAATCGCACTACCACACAATAAGGATTCAACTGCATTTGACGTTGCGCGCCGTTATTGATTTCTGCTTAGATGCTGCATAATAGGGAATTCAGTATAGCTTTATTGGGTATTGTAATTCACAAGGAGTGGACGCATCTGCGCCATTGAGAACGATTTTGAACCATGTCACCAATTGTCTCTAGCCATTGGTGTTTATCGTCCCGAGGATCCCAACCGGGAAGTCTATGTCTTCCTACGTGGCTTAAACTAACTGTTGTGGATTTCATTGACTGATAAATCCAAACTTTGGTTTGACCACCACTGGCTCTTTTGCAACCTGATCCTATGTCAGCTAACATTGCCCGTCGATGTAGCTTCACAACCTCGTCGATTGATTTCCCCTCCTTGCCTAGCACTCGACCGAAGCTTAACCTGAATATTACTCACCCTATTATACCACTTCACACGGGAGATAGAACGCAGACACCCATGATCAAAGACAGCTAGTCTTTTCATGTCCTCCACTCTTACTGACCAGGTCTCAGTCATAAAGGAGGACGGAGTGGACTGTTGAGCAGTACACACGCCCTTTGGTCGATAGCCAGCCGGATATCACGTCTACGCCAGAGACGGCGTAAGCTGGCATGTGCGAAACAAGCCTTCTGTAACCATGCTGAGATTTCGTCAGATCAGCCCAGTTAGGGCTGATGCAACTTCCCAAATAGGTGAAGTGGTCAACAAACTCTAACACTTTACTTCCTATTTCTAAGCTAGAAGTCGGTGTAGTCCAGTTCTGTAACATCATCTTACATTTGGCGGCGGCGACTCGCATGCCAAACATTCGAAGATTGTGGCTCAAGGTGTTCAGAAAACTGCATTTTGTCAGCGTCTTCACCTATAGCATATGCATATTCCAGGTCAACGAGATTATTCCCTGGTCACAAGTCAATCCCTGAGTCTCTGGAGTGAGTTAGGGTTAATTCCACTAGTACGTCTATGATGAAATTGAATAGAAGTGGGGATAGAGGGCATCCATGTCGTACACCACTAGTTGTCACCAGTTCATATGACAACTCGCCGTAAGCTCTCACCTGGCTGCATGAGTACGAGTAGAGTGCCTTGATCAGTGCAATATATTTTCTCGGCATTCCCAAACATCGCCATAGTACCTCTCGGTCGACGGAATCGAATTCCGCCTTTAGGTTAAGAAATATAACGATTGTTGGACGCCTGTATGTCCATGCTCCAGAATTTGTCGAAGGGTGAAGATATGACCAATACACCCTCTTCCTGGTCTAAAGCCTGCCTGGTTCTCTCGTGTTTGTGCTTCCCGAGCACCACTCAGTCTACACATTATTATTGAGCCTAGAACTTTAGATACCATATTATTCAAGCTAATCCCCCTGAGATTATCACAGGAAGACTTGCCTCCCTTCTTGTATATCGGGATAATCAATGACTTAAACCAACCCAACGGGACTTCCGCTAATTCCCAGACACTTCGTAGTACCTTAGTTAACGCAGATAGTAGACTGTCTCAGCCATCCTAAAACACCTCTGGAGTCATTCCATCGAGTCCTGCAGCTTTGCCTCATTTCAGACTAGTGACAGCCTTAGTAACCTCAGTTAGGGACGGTGGACCTGTGTCTATATCCTGTTCAGGGAGGTGTTGGATGTTCGGTAAGTTGAGCGTGGCTGTAGGTCAATTGAATTGCTCCTCAGAGTGTCTTTTCAAACGTTCTAGTTGTCTATCCTGAGACCTAATTATGGTGCTATTTTTCTCAGAGATTTGTTCACTTATCTTTTGCCACTTGTTTCCCTGATAAGCCTAAATACAATACAATACGTTATGTAGACGTGCTTTTTGACATGAAAAAGCTTCTGCAGTGTAAAAATATAAAATTCAACCCTTTCTTCTTGATATTTGCATGTACACTACGAAACGGGCTTCTCCATGTGTTCCTTCAGGTTTTAAGACCCATTAGTCCTTACGGTGACACGACTTTTTTTCTGGGAGTCCAGTTTAACACAAGAAAATCGCTACTTTGTGGTGTATACATAATATTAAATAGTTAAAATAAAACTTAAATCACAAATGAAAGAAGTTAATGCTCATCTGTACAATAATTAGAAAGTTTCCTCAAGTGTGGATTACATAAAGTGTGACATCGGATCATCCCGGTTGACTTTTATGCGATAATAAGCTTCCATTTCTTCTGCAGTTGGTGGTTTGACTTCAGCAAGGGAATTGTATGGTCGTTTACGTTCATCCATTGCAAGGTATTCATCTACTGCTCTTAAGCGTTCTCTTTCTTTCTTTATAGCCTCTTGGATTAAGCGCTCCTGAATTTTTTCAATATCTTCTTCCGATTCTGTAGATGAACTCGAACTACTGCTACTACGCCTACGTTTGCGTTTTTCTTTCGAGGACTTCTTGATATGATCTTTTCTTTTTTTCTTCTTGTCAGCGCGTTGTGCACGAATACGTTCTCGCCGTGCTTCTGATCGAGCTAAATCTTTATCTCTAGCTTCTTTATTTTTTGTATCTACAACGCTTTCATTCAAGTCTGTTTCTGATACAGACTTAGAATGTAACTGTTCCCTAACTTCTTCTTGGTTCTGATCGTTTCCACTAACACGACCTGCTGATTCATCTTCGGAAGAGTCGGTACTGGAGCTTGAAGATGAGCTGGAACTAGATCGGCTTGAAGATGACTTGCTTTTGACTCGTTTCCGTTTTTTATTCTTTGACTTCTTATCTGCATGATACTCTGAATTTGCTTCATTATCAGAAGCGATATCCGCATTTGTGGGCATAGGTGGGGGTTGTAGTAATGCCACAGCTGTAGGTCCATCTGGGACCTCTGGGAAACTTACTTCTTTACTTTTTTCTCCTAAACAATATGACTCCTTGATCAGTGAGTGACAGCACCGATAACCCCATTGACCATTGAACCAATATGAACCCCATACACTCTGTACAAAAACAAGTGATGAAAACAAAGGGACAATTCTGTAAGTGTACACTTAATAGAGAATGTTAATTATAATAGCAGAAAAAGCAGTAACACAGTGTAGATATGGACGAGACCTACCTGTCACCCAGAGTCGCCTACGAACTGTCACTTGAGAAATATTGGTTTTGTAAGGATTTTTTTAAGTAATCCACAACGGGAAACTTACGGAAGCCTTCGAAGTGAGGCAAAGCTGTCTACTATCGCCAATGATTTTCCTGATTGCAGTAGATTGGATAATGCGACAGACAGCGGGCAATGAGGAAACAGGCATAAAATGGACTCACACAAAAAACTTGGAGGATCTGGACTTCGCCGATGATATATGTCTGATTTCTTACAAAATGGAATATATGCAAGTGAAAAGCAACAAGTTAGCAGAAAAAGCATCAGAGATAGGACTCCAAGTAAACATAAGGAAAACAGAAGTAATGAAGATTCCTGGCCAATACTAACAGACAACAATCAGCATAAATGGAAGGAACCTGAAAGAAACAACCTCCTTTACCTACCTACCTGGGAAGCATCGTTTTAACTACAGGTGGAACTGACGAGGATATCAAAGTCAGAATCGGGGAAGCAAGACAGGCTTTCATTACTCTTAAGTCTGTTTGGAGGTCAACGCCACTCACCATCAAAATAAAATCCGGATTTTCAACTCCAATGTGAAGTCAGTCAGTACTACTATATGTATCAAAGACTTGGCGAGTCATAAAGAGCATCTCGAACGAACTTGAGACTTTCATTAACAGTTGTCTTCGCTCAATACTCAAGATCAGCAACGGGGATGGATCTCTGCCAATGAGCGAACCAACCAGGAACCGATTGTGAAACAAATAGGCAGGAAGAAATGGAGATGGATTGGCCATACTCTGAGGAAACCATCAAGTGACATCACTAGACAAGCCATTGCTCGAGTGAAACCCGAAAGGGAAGCGGCGAGTTGGTCGTCAGTGGGAGGGTGATTTGGAGGAGGTCATGTGAAGAGGAGATGAAAGCATGTGGGCAGACTTGGAGCGGGGTGAAAAAGTTGGCAGAAAACCGAAGGCAATGGACACGTTTGGCTGAAGCCCTACGTTCCTCAAGGAATTAAATGAAATAATAATAATAAGGATTTTGTTTGATTGGTTGGAGGATTTGATTATGAGCTAACATCATTTAGAGAATTATTGGAAAACTTGGGAGTCCTGGACAGTTGTTTCGTCCTAGTGTTGGACTCTTTATCAGTACGCACCCAGTGCCGGGGTTTGAACCCAGGATCTCCTAGCCACTGGGACCCGATCTAACG